GCGTTTTGTGCAAGCAAAACAGACCTTTTTGGAGGGAGTTGTTAGACAAAAATACAGCCGTTTTCAAAGCATTTTGTTCTGAAAGATCAGATTGTGAATGGGTTAAGCCAATATAACGTTTTGTATAAGATATAAAAAACTGTCAGATGTAAAACATTTATTAACTTGAGGAAAATTGCCAAAGATCTAAAATTAAATTTGTGTATAAAATAAACTTCATTAGAATGCTTATCATTTAATCAATCCCGGAACTGATCTAGTGTGCAGATCACATTCTTCAGAAATAATCAAAACTTTCTTTAAAAAAATCCTTTTCATCTATTACTTATGGTCCTCCTTCTAAAAGAAAAAAGGCCTAAAGATTAGTATTACAGTACAAAGTCCGTAATCCAGACGTCCATTATCCGGAATGATCTATAATCCGTACCTCAAAGCCACAAACTTTACGCATGTGCGTAAAGAATGTGCATACATTACACATGCGCGTGTTGAAAGTGTTGGCAGTGGTGATAAAGGCAAAGCATATTTTGCTTTCCTTAAATAAAGCTAAGACTAATCTAAATAAAATTCATGCTTTATTCCGTAAATTAAAATAAAAGAGCTAACACTGTAGCCTTTGCATTTAAAATCATTTGATTGAAAGCAAACTAGCATTATGCTAACTCATAATAATACAAGAGAACAAGAACATTCGCTGATACCGGCGTACATATATATAATACTCGGCCGACCCACCAATCTTGACATCATCGGCCAATCAGTGGCAACCACGTTAGCTTACCGCCGATTGACCTCCGATCAAAATTTGCATGTGGAAAACTAAAGCCAACAGAAAGAAATGTTTAATAAAGTAAACAAATAAATATTAAGCTGTTTTTTTTTTTTTTTTTTAAATTTGATTCCTTTAGATCATAACTGCTCTTAATTCACAAATTACAGTTTCATATCTTTAATTGTATAATTTCTGCATGCCATCTTACCAGATTTAAATTGATGATCTATAATCCAGAAAAACCCTTAATCTGAAGTCTCGACAAGTCCAGATTACAGACTTTGTACTGTATAACTAGAAAGTAGCTGACTACAGTCGCAATCTTTAGCCAGTAAGTGTAACAAATATTTAATTTCAGTTATTTTCTTGTCTTAATCTGGGAGAATTCTATTGCAATCAAATATGAAGTTAGCTGTGCTTTTTCAAGATTATCAGCTTATATCAAAATAGTTTATACATACTGCTTTCTTCATTTTTAAAAATGCATGTCTCTGAAAAAAGGACCATCTTAAACAACTTGAAGGAAAATTACGGAGTAAAGTATGTATGTAATGTTTGTCACTGTATTTTGAGCTTCTTCATTCAATTGTGACTCACTTTAGTTAAAATACTATCTGGTGTTGTTTTGAGCATATTAGTCCTGAAATACCATAATAAAAACAATGTTACATTTTCAGAAGAGTATGGTCTCAAAACACTGTTGAAAAATTAAATGCAAGTCAAAGTTTAAGTAAGCTAATTATCTATCATTTGCCTGTGCTAAATAATCGTAGCATAAAATGTAAGTTATTTATTAAAATATGAAACAAATTTATTTGTTATTATAGAATATGTAGCAACTAGAAAATCCCATTTGTGAAATGCACTCATTGCAGCAGTTATAGAGTTTAAGTAAAAATGTTTAATTTATAAATCATGTTATTTTGAAAAATGTGATGAATAAAAATTTAATAACCTGACTGGCTTACCTGCTTTTATCTAGTCATGAGAATGATTTTTGCGTACTGTCTAAAATATTTTGCTCTGTAGTTTCTTTAATAATCTGATATCATCTTAATGAACTGAAGTTTATGAAAACAAAATGTAAAATAAAATAAATTAAGTGTACAAATCAAGTTAATAAAAGTTTTATAAATAGGCAAGTAAAAAAAAAAAAAATTTCAAAAAAAAATCTTCACTTATTTTTAAAGAATAAGGAATAAACAAGAAATAAATTATTTTTTTTTTTGTGTGTGCTCCAAAGCAATGGTTCAGATTTTAGGGTTTCTAAATTTTTTCATTTTTTGAGAAATAAAAGTATATGTAATAAAATTAATTTTGATTTTTTGCTAATAGATATTTAAATATTCAATCATCTGTTTTCTACCTATTTCTGAAATAATAATAAAAAAATACAGTACTAAGAGTAACTAAGTAAAAATTTTAAGTTTAATACTATTTATTAAGATCCATACCTTCAGTCTTAGATTTTTATATTTAAAATACCCTTCATAAACTTGGAAATACTGTCATAAATTATTTATTAGACCAAGCTTAAGTTTTTTTCTTTTACAATAAAGTCCTTAAAAAAGCAAAGAGATAAAAATAAAATATGAAAATCAAATTTTATGAAGCAGAAATTGTAGAAGTTCAGTGAAATGAAGGAGCAACAGAAATAATATATTTTAACCCCTTCGCGCCGACTGTCACGTCTACGTGCCAGCAACGAACACACTCACCTCCCGGCCGACACGCAGGCGTGACAGAGCGTTTTCCCGTTCAGCCCCGACTGTCACGTATTTGTGCCAGTGTCCTGGAACGTTTTTCAAACTATAATTTCTGCCACAAGATGGCACTGTATGTCCATATGGTTTCAGGTACGTGTACATTAGACCTTCTACTCGAAATGAGAGAAGCATGACTCACATACACGTGTTTTTGATTATATAAACAAACGGGGAACTAAATGTTTCCGAATGGCGTGATTTATTACGTCTCTTTAAATCGCACTTTATTCGCAGGTGGTAGTTGTTTATTGTAAGTAGAAGTTTTATATGCGCTAAAGCGTTGAGTATTTCGGTTTGCAGTTCAGTTTTTAGAAAATAATTAGATCTTGTTAGACGTGAATTCTTTCTGTTTTTACTGTTGCAATGTCGAAGCGCGTCGAAAATGTTTAACAGAGCATGAAATAGCAGAAATGATGCAAAATATTTCAGATATTGATTCTGAAATTCTGATATTGATTCTGAAAGATTAACTGAAAGTTATTTTCCAAAACTTTGTTCAGAAGAGACTGATAAGAAAATGAGACGACGATGCTTCGTTTGTTCACATTCCCGGAAAAATCCTCCAAAACGGCAAATGAGTTATTACGAGTGCAAGGAATGTAACATAAGACTGTGTGTAGATCCCTGTTTTCACATTTTTCATAGGAAAAGAGAATTTTAAGTAATATATTTAGTTTTCAGATGTATAATGTTAAAAGTCATAAAATGGTGAGTAATTAAAATAAAATGTGTAAAATATGCATTTAAACAAGAAATAAGGTAATTAAAGTATATATATAAAAATATCTATAAAGCATAAGCCGTTTAAATACTCCATAGAGCCATATTAAACAATGCGTTGATACTTCAGAAATTTCATGGATACCAAATTCATGGATTTTTGCTTAGTACCAAAAAAGCCCCCGGCCCTGGAGAGACGCTCGCGTAAGACACTGCCCGGCCTCCGAGATAAGCGCGCGTTTTCGCTACCCGGCTCGAAGGGGTTAAAACGGAAGAAAAAGATTGTCATATCTTTAATCAAAATTTAGTGTAATTTTTTATTGTAGACCACAACAGTTACTGCATGACTTGTACACTAACTACCAGTGCTGGATGTTATTGACATAACACTAACCATACAATCTTTATTCTGTATGTTTGTCAATGTAATTTTAATAAGTCAACCAGTAACTGATGGATATGACTGCTAAGCAACCTTAGTGCAGTTTCTAGCAAATAGGCTGGCTACATGGGTATTTTTGCGATTTTTGTTGTATGGCATTAATACAGGCCAGTTTTTCTAGAAAAGTCTTCCACTGAGGCATCTCTTCCCTTAAGCAGATAGTTATAATAAATAGCATAATCAGCCCATAAAATTTGTAAAACATCGATACTGTTATTATAATTAAAAAAGAAGTTTTGATGTTATGTGTTAAGAGTTTGGCTGATTACAGCAAAAGCACTTGAGAGCTGTCTGCTTTTTGGAGAGCTCTGTAAGGCTAATGTGCTCATATACACATTACATACGGGAAAAAACTATGAAAATGCTCATATAGCCAGTCCATCCACCAGAATTTAAAGTTGAGTCAAACTACCAATGTCCACCCACTTTACCACTCAGTTGCTGGTAAGCCATCTTGATTGAAGAATAATTATTTATGTATTATTTAATAACTAGTTTGTTTCACTTTTGTTTCATTGCCTTGTTCTGAAAATATAATGGAGGTTTTGCTGATTTAATTTATAATGTAGTGTCTCACTATTTAAATTTATGAAAGAAAAATTATTTTTTTGTTGCTATTTGTGCATCATTTGATTTTTTGTATAACTGAGAGATTTTAGCCCAAAAGGGCTATTAGTCCTGTAATGTGATTTTCATTGCTGCACTTTTCATTTGAGTCTCTTGTCATTAAAAAAAACATAAAATATTATTTTTTCATACTTAATCTGTCTGTTATTAAATAACAAACTAAGTTATTTAAAAGCAATAGGTGCAATGCTTTAAAATATTTTTCCCCTTTTTACTCTGATTGACTTAAGTAAAAAAGCATTTAATTCATGATATATCTAATTAAATTAAAAACATTAGATATTTTTATAAAATTACATACATATTTTTTCACTTTTTAAAATATACAGAAAATGTATAATTTTCCTATGTTAGTCTAAATGCATATTTATCTAATATCTTATAAATTGTTTCGCTACTTCTTCTTGACCATATCTATTTATAATCTCTACTATTAAATTAAAACAACCCTTTTGTGTAATCTTTAAAATCTTAACCTTTTCAGATTTTTTTTTATTTTATGTTCATCTTTGCTATCCTGAAGTGTTTTATCTAGAACTATTTTTGTAGTTTTACATATATACATGGAACATAAAAAACTTAAAAAAAGAATAAAAAAGTATGTTTTCTGAAATTTATGTTGTTGCATTTTCTACCTATTTATCTTCTAAATAATCCTGTTGCTGTATTTCAGGGCTTGGGTGTGCCTTTCAACATAGCAAGCTATGCATTGTTAACAAAAATGATAGCTCATGTCACTAATCTGGAACCTGGTGATTTAGTGCACACACTTGGGGATGCACACATATATCTTAATCACATTGAAGCTCTGCAGGAACAGGTAATTACTAACCTTTTTACCTAACTGTTTTTATTGTTAGCTATATTGCTTAATATATTATGAAAGTTGTTTAATTTACCATTATTTTGAATCTAAATAACTGAAAAGCAGGCAAATTTGATGAAATAAGCCTTTTAATTTGAATCTTTCATCAGAAGTAAATATGTGTGTGTGTTGATTTGTATGTGAAATAGTTTGTGAAAAATTTCCAAATGTATATTTTATTTCTAGTTTTTTAAAATTATATATACAGAAAACACTACTTGTGGTCACATTTGTCCATGATTATTGTAATGAGAGAAAATGTTTTTCAAATTAGCAATGTAATTTAACTAATTTAATATAAATATAGGTAGAAACATATAAATACTTATTTTCACAGCGTTTTAACAGGTGAAAAAAGTCATTACTAATGGATTGTTTGCAAGTGTTACACAAAAGTTTATTTATGAAATATTTCTAATGTTTCTGGAAATTATTTGACTGATGCTGTACTCCTAATATAAATACTCAGAAAGCATCCCTTATATCAGCAGTTATAAGAAATTTGCCGATTTCATCTTTTTGTTCTTCGGAAAGTTTATTGCATGATATACTCAGATTTGTTTCAGAGAGTCACTGGTAGATATCTTCTGTCTGAAGAAGAAAGACCTGTGTGTGATTGCCTTCAGAATCAAAGTTATTCAAAATCTGCACTAAATTAAAGTTGCTTTTTTGCCTAGGTTGACTTAAAAAAAAAAAACTAAGCAGTTTGATGGCTTAATCTCTGATTTGATGACATTTTTTAGTCATCTGATAATTTTTTTAAATTTATTTTCACCTTATTTGGAGAATTTGCTAACAAAAAGCGATGTATTTTCCATGTTTTCGTAAACAAATGGACAGGGCTTCGGCAAACCGATAACAGTATTGGAATGATGTTAACCATGATCACATTAAGTGATGTCTACAGTACTGTTCTAAAAATAAATAATATCTACCTTAGAAGGGACAAAAATATGTGGTGAAATTACATATTCTGGCTAACTGGCATAATTATTTATCATTACAGTTGTCACTATCATGCATAGATAGGTAGAAATATATGCAAAATGTTACAAAGACAATACATAAAAACATAAATAATATATCTTGTGCATTGTTTTGCCAAAACACTTGTCATTGGTGATTTGATTGTAAGTGCTTAATGTCATTTTGTTCATCATGTACAGATCTTTGAATCTTTAATTTTATCCGTCATTTGCTGATTTAAAGCCAGGTTATAATTTTTATGTCTTTAAAACTGTTCCATATCATGTAGGCATGTAAATGAGGTTATACAAATAATGAAACCCCCAAGGCAGAGAATAAATAATTAAATCTAAATATAGGTATAAAAATGAAAGAAATGCATAACAAAAGTAAGTTAATGAAATCATAAGAGAAGAAGAAATATCATATTCAACTATTTCAGTAATAACTGAACATGTCATTAATACAAGTCGTCAGTAGTCAAGATTAACACTGATAGTTAAAGGAACAGTTAGTACGAAATATACAGTTTATAAAATAAAGCACATAACCAAAGTCATGAAGTGGAAGAGTTCTTAATAATGGGAATAAATAATCAAATTTAAACACAATATAATCTAAATTGGAAAAGAAACAGACCAAAGTAATAGTTAAAACTAGGCGAAACAACAAGCTTATTTCAGCTCAGATATTGAATAAAATTCTATTACTTTCAAGAGCATTCAGACTTAGGTCCCTCTTCTTCGAGAGCAAACTAATTCTGTAAATTGAGAGGGGCAATGACCATGTTTATATCAAAAACTATGGATTAAGTAAAGTGAACAAACACGGTGCCATCTGTCAAGGAAAACTGTAATGAAACATGAAAAACTAAGGTAATAAAATTTTATAAACGTTAATAACTGAATTGGAATTAATATCATTAACTAAAGAACTAATCTTTTTTTTAATGTGAAAAATTTCAGGGAAATCCAACTGAAAATACTTTATGGATAATTATTACTAACTGAAAATGCTTTATGGATAATTTTCACAGAACCAAATTCAAAACTGTGATTAAATTTCCAACTGTCATTAGCATTGAAGATCTTTTAATTTCTTCTTCTAAGAAGAAATTTCTGATTCTTGATGTGAAATTTTGGCCAATATACAAAGTGTATTCGGAAACTAAGTACCGTTTTGGGGGGAAAAAAAAAAAAAAAGGAAAACAATTTTTTTGAATCCAATTTTATTTTTACATGAAAATACATGTCTTAAACTATTTTTCAACATAGTTTCTGCCAATGATCAAACACTTGTCATAGCAGGTGACCAGTTTTAGTATACCATCGTCAAAGAAACTTCCTGCCAGTTTCGATAACCACGACTCCACAGCATTTTTCATGTCATCGTCAGATCGAAAGCACTTGCCACCAAGCTCGCGCTTCATGTGCAGGAACAAGTGATAGTCCAACGGAGCCAAGTCCGAGCTGAACGGCGGGTGAACGAACTGGTCCCAATGAAACTGTCGAATTAACGATTGAGTGACACCAGCAGTATGGGGCCGAGCATTGTCATGGAGCAACACAATTCCTTTACTGAGCATTCCTCTTTGTTTGTTTTGAATGGCACGCCTTAGTTTTGTTAAAGTCTCACAATATCGTGCCGCATTAATGGTTTCACCTCTGGAAAGAAATTCAGTAAGCAAAATGCCTTTCCTATCCCAGAAGACAGTGCACATGATTTTTTGTGATGACATTGTCACTTTGAACTTTTTTTTTTTTTTCCGGAGAATGAGTGTGTCTCCACTCCATCGATTGTTCTTTCGATTCTGGTGTGAAATGACACACCCAAGTTTCATCACCTGTCACAATTTGGTTTAAAAAGTTTTCTCCCTCATCACTGTACCGCGTGAGAAATATCAGGGCACTACCAAGTCGCTTTGTTTTGTGAACATCAGTGAGCATTTTTGGAACCCATCAGGAACACAGTTTGCGATAATTCAAGCGGTCAGACACAATTTCGAACAAAACAGTACGTGAATTTGTGGGAAGCCTCTGAAAGAGTTGTCATTGTGAAGCGCTGTTCTCATGAATTGCTTCATCAACTTCCTACCAAATCATCGTGACAACAGAAGGCCGACCACTCCGGCGCGGGTGGACATTTGTTCGACCTGCATTAAACATTCTTACCCACTTTCCACCATTCCATCACTTATCGCGTATTCACCGTAAACTTCTGTCACTTGACGATAAATTTCGACCGGTTTAACATTCCTCGGCGTTCAAAAATTTAATCACGGCACGAATCTCACAGTCAGCGGAGAACTAATTGTCTTAAACATTTTGAATGTGCACAGCAAACTGAAAACACAACATAGAGCAACCAAAATGACGACAATTGAAAGTCAGTGAACAAGAAAGACTAGTGCGCATGCGCGGGACGCCTACCACAGCGCTGCGAGGGCACTAGAATGAAACTGTACTTAGTTTCCGAATACGCTACGTATTTAGACAAATAGCCAAAACATTTTTTTCCAAAACACCTCCTAAAAATATCCAAGATACCAAAATTTTAACTCCAATTGCTCAGACTTAACAGAAAGGAATGCATAAAACTGCTAATTTAAATAATTTGCAAATCGGTTTTTTAATAGATACTGCTAGTTAAGTTACGTTAATCCGAGAAGTTGTACTTTAGAAAATGGATTTCTCTGAACTTAATTCCGCAAATCTACGGTTAAAGATATTTGGCAATGGAAAAATTAAACCTATAGAGATATCTGATGGCAAATTCGAGATTGATGGTTCTTCAGATATGTCAAATATTTGTGTTATCGGAGAAAACGAAATGTTTCAAGAAGCTATCATTGGTATAGATGTTATAAGTAAGACAATTAACAGTAAATGAAAAAGGAGTCAAAATTTAAAACTTGCAGCCAGAAAACTATTTAATGTTCATTTGTGATATTTGTTATGACGAGGAAATCGTGCAACGTTTTAATGACGTAAAGTCCTCGTTTGGTAAGGATTTACTGTACATTGATTAAAAAAATGTAGAAAATCGCTCTCTTAACTTTTTTTTAAACATTCTTGTTTCATTTGCAAAATGCCTTCAAAGAAAACTTTGAATTTCGTTCCTTGATTATTTACAAATTTTAATTTTATGTAGTAACTAAATTTGTCACTAAGATACGGTTATAGTTTAGAAGCTCGAGCTTTCTGGCACTCAGGCCCCCGATAATAAAATTTGCATTTTTATTCACCAATGTAACAATGCACTCACTTATATTAATGATTAAAATTTTTTATTTTAAAAATCTGATGCGTACACCACATGACTTCCTTGTACGGAATATTAAATTATATGCATTTTTTCCTGCCTTTCATTTAAACTTATTTCTTTGAATTTTATTACAGATAGATTTCTCATTCAATTAATTCAGTTCTCACTTCGTGACAAGGCAGAAGTGGATAAAATCTCAAAATATATATATTAAAAAGTGAAAGATATAGAAAACAATAAAACATCAAATACAATTAAACATTTTTTTAACACTTAAAATTACAGTTTCTACACAAGAACAAGACATTTCGGCTAACGGGCAAGAAGGCAGATTTTTTTGGTGCACAAAACTGAAAGTTTTCTTTTAGTCTCACTCGGCAAAAGACAATGAAGGCGTAGAAACTGAATTTGTTGCGGAAGCTATGATGAGTCCATATAAGGGACAATTTAATAACTTCAATGATAATGTCAGAATATTAAGCATCATTTAGTTCGCAATAATAAAAGACTTTACTTTTGTTGTTGCAAAGTTTTATTTCTCTAGATTGTCAATAAATCCACTATTCTTCTAAGTTTCAAATGTAAACAAATATACGCTTAGTCGCACTTAAACAACTCTTAAATTCTTCATAATTCAACAACTATAACATGAAGGTTATCTAAAAGCATAAAAACTTTAACCGGAAGATAAGAGCAATATAATTCAATTATTTTCAAAGCAAAAATGGCACAACTTACAAATATATAACAAACTGAGCTCACTGAGTTGAGTAACAGAATGGATATATACATAGATATGAATATATACTCTCGGTGTGACCAATTGCAACCATAGTGAGGGGTGCACATCTCCATGTCATAGTAATCCTATGAGCAAAATTACAACATTCCTACTCGTTTTTGAGTTTTTGAGATACATACTTACGTACAGACGCACGAAAAAAGTCACTTCAGAACTAATTTTAAATCAGTTTTATAATTCTTTGGGGGGAAAGTGTCTTTTATTCTGTCCTTACGTATAGATGTCACTCAAAACATCATTAAATTGCATTCAATAGAGGTCAAAATGGATATTTTCTTTGAAATATGATGACCGAAATTTTTATAAATAAAAAAGAACCAGATATATGCTTGGCACTAAGGGTGTGATTATTAACAAAGTTCAGAGTCTGGAAGTGTTTCGAGAGACTAGCCGTCTCACTAGGAAGGACTTGAGAAGCAGTAAAAGAAGATGAAGACTGCATCTGTAAAAAACTTTCTGAAAGCTACTCTCGGATAAAATGTTAAAATAAAAGTACCTGATATTGATAGATCGAAAATGGATCCAAATTCATTAATAGCCGTTGTTACAGATATTAAATATGATGAGTTTTATGGTCTTGGTATTAAGTTTGGTAAATTAAAATCGCTGTACACAAGAAACCAGTTTACCTTTTGCAAAGAAAATGTTTTAAACATCGAAGAATTTGGAGCAGAAGAAAAAAGTGTATGTGAGACTTTTAGGTGGGAGACAAGGAGTCCAAAAATGCAACTGTTTAAAGGAGTTTAGTCTAATCTTACTGATGCTTATGTCATTGTTTAATAAATTCACAATGTTTTGCTTTTATGTATTAGAAGGTTTTCTAGCTAAAATCGGTAAAACTGTTTGAAAATAATTTTTTCTTGATCAAATGTTTATTTCTAGAAAATCTGCATGTGTAGTATCTCAAGCTTAAATATCATTAAAAAAAAAACTATAAAACACAGTTACATGTATTTATTACCTTAGATATACTTATTATTTGTATTTGTAAGTAAAATTATCTTTTTGTGTTCTTATTTTATTCAAGATATTTAATTTTGCCTTTAGAGATCAAGCCATTTTAATATGAAAGTAATGTTGGGGGTAAGAAAACACAATTTTGATTGATGTAGATTTTATTTTTACTGCCAAATAAAAATTCCCAATGTTGCATTTTCTTACTCATTTTGGTGTATTGTTCCTTCCTATGAAAGTAATGAGTTGACGGGGAAAATTTACTTTTGTAGATGAGGGAAAAAATAGAGCATATTGAAAATTATTTAAAATAGGAAGGCTTCTAAGACCAACTTTTCTGTAAATTTTTATGTAGCTTTAGATATCTATTTTATATTTGTTATATAGCAAATTAAGTGTTCAAAGGTGTGGGAAAATTGAAATCTTTGACATGTAGTTTGATGAACTGAAATATTTCTTGTTTTTCTTACAGATAACAAGAGTACCTAAACCCTTTCCAAAGCTAAAAATAAAAAGGGATGTTAAAAATATTGAAGATTTTAAATTTAACGACTTTGAACTTATTGGATATGAGTGTCATCCTCCTATAAAAATGAAAATGGCTTTGTGATTTTGTGCTGGGAGCTATATAAAAATAGCTTTGTCATATAAAAAATAAAATGGCTATGTGTAGTTGCTAAGGATGTAGTTGTAAGATCTGATGTACAACTTTTGTTGCAAAACTAATTTTGTACAATTTGTTTATATTCGCATATAGTATTTGTGAAACATTAATTGCATAATCTAGTTAGCAATTTTTAATAGTTCTATATAAAATCAAAAATTTTTTAAATAATCAACTTGTTTTATTTTGATATTTATACCATTATTTTTCAAACCTTTATATTTCTAAATGCAGTTTTAATTTACATTTTAATCTTTCAAACTAAATAAAAAGAGGATGAACCAATAGTGATTCTATCTTATTTTGAAACACAATAGAATTGCTCAAAAAAAGCTGCACTAGAAACTGCTTCTGGCATATACAAATTAATTTACATTTTTATTCTTAACTACATAGATTGTAAAAACTCTGGAATTTTGATATACAGAGTGCTTAACAGCACTGGTCATTCTGTTGTGTAACTATCCCAGAGCATAAAATTCGCTTTGTTCATTACAGTCCAAGTACAAGATCATTGGGAGTTTGACAAAACTGGACTTTAGATCTAGTAAAATGACAGGTAAATTCTTAGACTAAAAATATTTTGTTAATATTCCTTTAAGAAAGAGACATTTTACTTAAGAATAGAACTTTTTTATAAATCATCACCACTTTAAACTAAAATGTTGTTCAAAGCCGAAATTGCTATATTTTTTTTATTTAAAACCATACTACAGGTATCTACCATTTCATTGACTGATTGATTTATTGCCATTATAATGCAAGACTTTAATTATATCATCTTCATTTAGCATTTTATTTCATATTCCATTGATTAGAAGAAAATCACATTCCCAGCTTTCCTCATCATCATGAAATCTGGTAGCTGGCATATTATGCCATGCGCTTTTAAGCTGCAGGCATGTCTTGCCCTGCACATTAGATTTTATGTTAAAATATTTATTGAATTCTTGGGCAGTGTTGTTGCTGCATCAGTTTTTTAAAAGCAACTTTATATCTGCATTTCAGTGCATGTAAAATCTGATATCCTTTGGCTGATTGGCAGATATACAATTTCAAGGAAACGGTAGTATGAAGGCATTATCATTTACTAAATTATATTTTTGATAAGATTAATAGTAATAGAGTGAGAAAAATAATATGGTTTTTCTAATCAGAAAGCTAAGTAAGAGCGAATTCGCTGTTTTAACTGTTTTAGTTCCTTGGAATCTAATTCTTTTTCCTGTCCCTGTGGGAAACCAGTAGAAAGAACATCTCACTCCTAATAAATATGTCTCGAGACTTATTATTTAGCTCTGATAGGAAAATGCTGTCCCACCAACACCGTTTAAGAGCTGAAAGTGTGTTCATGCCTAACATCAATACAATGTTAGTGTCACTGGCCACTATGTAATTCCCTAGCCAACAGATGTTTAAAAGTGACATCCAGGAATCTCAGTTATTTGAAAGAAAATTACTTTTATGGCACACCTGCTTTTGAGTATTATGTTCTCCATTCCTAGAGAAAAACAAAGAAAAAAAAAAACTATTATTATTATTATTTTTGCTGGTGGCCTGGATTTCAGACTTTTTATTTGTATTCCTAGCTATGAAAAAATAGCAGTTATACATTTAAAGAGTTTTAGTGCATACATGATTCTGGTAGTGATATAATTTAATGTTTATGAATAATGATATATTAGGTTGCTGCAATATTTTATCGATTTCTTCCACTTAATTTCAAATGTAGCATAAATTATCTTAACATTAGTCTGAATTTTTTATCATTAATCATCTTTCTGAAAATCATTTTGATCATAGGCAAACATGAAGTTCTGCTTAATTCTATGTCTGTTTGGTACTAATTTTACCCCTTTTTTAATGGGTCATTACTAATACTTTTGTGTAATTTCCTTATAAACAAAATGCTAAGACAAGTTTGAGCTATAAATTTTTCTTAAACTCAATACATTTTATCCAGTCAGTGAAACTGGACTTGAGAAAAGAATCTATTTCCCATCACTTCCAAAACAATATTTGTGAATGTTTCCTTTCAACTGAAAAAAAATTCTTTTTAAAATGCAAAAAATCTATTTTCACCCATCTGACTTGGTGGTTACCAAAAAAGTAATCAGCACTTATAAAATTTAATATTCTAATCAAGAAGAAAAAACCAGATGGGATAAGGTACCATCTGGAGAATGGTTTATTCAAAAGTTTTAGCAGAGCTGGGACATTGCTAAAGCACTTGCTTCAGGTAACCAATTAAAAGGAACAATTAGTTATGGAAATTCATTTAAAAAAAGAAATTATACTTGTTAACTTCCAACTGTGGAATACTTCAAGAAGTATTTAAAAAAATACTGTGTTGTAAACAATCCTGCTGAAATTAAGACCCAATAACATGCCAAATAACAAGAATAAGCAAGTGGCGCCATCTGTTGGTGAAACCAGAACTAAAACATAATTTCTTTAAAGGCCGAAGGCAAATTTGGATTGGAATTAGGATCGTTAACTAGAACAGAAAGATTTTTATGAATGTGAAATGCCTCTAGAAAATCCAGTTCTCCAATGGAAGATGTTTTTTCAATAATTTTGGCAGCAGAAAGTGTGATTTTCGGACCAACAATGTTGAGCAGCAGAAGACTTCTGTGTTTCCTTTTTTCTAACATATGCCTCATGTTCCTTGACGCGAAATTTTAAGGCTCTCTTAGTTTGGCCAATGTAAATTAAACCACACTGGCAAGGAATCCTATAAATACCCCAGGAATTCATATCCGGAATGGGGTCCTTGAGTATGGAACTCGGAATTTTATTGATGGGAGAATAATAGATCTAGAGGCATTTCACATTCATAAAAATCTTTCTGTTCTAGTTAACAATCCTAATTCCAATCCAAATTTGCCTTCGGCCTTTAAAGAAATTATGTTTTAGTTCTGGTTTCACCAACAGATAGCGCCACTTGCTTATTCTTGTCCAGACTTTCTTATCTACTAATCATTATTTCTTATCTTTTCATTGTGGTTTCTGCAGCTGGATGGTGGTTCGGTAAACCATCGAAACTAGTCCTGTGAAAATTTGTAAATATAACGCTGATTTTTTGTTGTTTGACTTCTGACTTAGTATTTATTCGGCGTGTTATTGTGTCTTAATTATAGAAGCCCCAAACAGGCTTATTTTTTGCTTTCTTTTTTGCACGTGGTGTGGCCGCCATTTTATGATTGCATGAGTTTCGGTAAGTACTTTTTTGCAATTTTCAAGTTATGTTTATGTTTTGTATATTTGTATATTGTGCTTTGCTTGTCTGATTTCATGTATTTTGCTTACAAAAATTGGTTTTCTATTCATTTCAGTGAGGGATTTTTCTGCTGTTTTGTGTGTGCTTTATCATTGCTTAGTTAATTTAATTTGATTTTCTGCATTGTTTATCATGCCTTCATCCGTTAATCGTTTCACTAAATTACGCCTGAAACGGCAAAATTCCTGAATCATCTTGACTTTTTACTTAAATGTAATATAAAAAATTGATCCCCCAATTTTATTCAAATCAAATCTAATCAAAAACCTTCGAGTCGCTTTTCAAGAATTCTGGTTAAATTGCAAGCTTGCCTTACTTCGGTCCGTCATAAGGGATACACGTCAACAATAGTCCAAAATTGAACATGAACTCTATAAGCTTCATTTGGAACTCGCTAAATCATATTCAAAATTCACTGCCCTTGAATAAAAGTCTTGGTCTAGAACGGAGAATGCAGTTAACCATCATAAAAACACCCTTGCAGTTAAATTTGAAAAACTTCTTTTACAGTCTTCCAGTTCAAGTAGTTCAAAACATCTTCCCATTGTAAACAGCAAGCCAATAGTTAATATTTCTAATGTTACTCTTTGAGAAGAACAAGAGAGAATTCTAAAATATAATTTTAACTTCTCACAAACCTGTAAACCCTCGATTCCAAAGATTTTGGCTCCTATCGAAAAAGCTTTCAAGTGCAGTAAAGTTTCGGATTCAATGAAAGAAATTATTAGGCATCTTATCGCTCATAATGTGAAATACAATAATAAACCTTTGCAACCAAAACTCACTGCGAGAGAAAGAGCTACAATGCGCGAAATTCATTCTAACCCGGATATTATCATTTCAAAGGCCGACAAAGGTGGCCAGATAGTCGTCATGAATAAGAACACTTACATCGATGGTGTCACTAAACTCATAATAAATGAAGGATCATATAATCCGATCCCTAAAGATCCTTCACCTTCGGACTTGTCAAAAATAAAAACTTTAAACTTGAAAGGATCAAATCTTCCCAAATCCTTTCAAGCAACTTAAAACATTCGCTTATCCCATCTGTTGCAAATTGTGCCAGATTATATGCTCTTCCCAAAATTCATAAAAGTGGTATTCCTTTCCGCCCTATTGGATCAAATTTAGGTACTGCCTCGTATCCCTTAGCTAAATATTTAGTTTCTAGATTTTCAACTCTATTAGACAATAACATTTACACCATAAAAAATTCAATAGAATTTGTAGAAAAGGTTAAAAACATTTCTCCTAGTAATTTACTCATGGTTTCTTTTGATGTAAAATCATTATTCACCAATGTCCCAGTGAAGGGTGCATTAAGATGTCTAGAAACTGATGCCAGCTGAGGATGGTGGTTCGGTAAAACCATCGAAACTAGTCCTGTGAAAATTTTGTAAATATAACGCTGATTTTTGTTGTTTGACTTCTGAATTAGAATCCTGCTGAACTAAGAGAAGAATACATAACATTTATTTATCCTAAAAACTGCTCAGGTTTTTTCAGTACTATATGTATACTGTTTTCTAACATTAAAATTTCTTTTTGGAACTAGACATTGAAATTTATTATGTTTGATTGTACTAGCATGTAAGGCTTCATACATTAAACTTACGCTGAAATCACTTATACTGCCAACATTAGTAATTTTTTACTACTTTCCTTTAGTTTGAACTAAAGCTCTTTCAAGTCCACTAACAGAGTATGAACAATGATCCTAATTTATAAAATAAATGTCAAAAGCCCCATAATGCATACAAGTCCATTAAAAAAACATCACAAAATAGTGTTTTATTATTATATTACTTTTATAATGAAACAATAAGAAGAGTTGTTTAGAATCAAAAAAATAAAAAAGGGTTTAAAATTTTGAATTTTTTTAGGAAGGTTTAAGACAAACCATACTGGCTAATTAATATATTTTTTAAACAGTTTGTTTTATTCTATTGATGTTGTAACCACTATAACAATATGATTTTTGCTTTAATGTTTTTAATTAGTTTTTTAAAGACTGTTATCTGATAGCTGGTCTTTTGGCCATATTTAAGTTAATAGTTATCTGGTATTTAATATATTGAGTTTTCAGTTGCAAGAGAGATTACATTATCTCATATTTTAAGCAAGGCTTAGAATAAGGTGTGCTAATGTTGAAGTCGGATTTGTTGATTAATCAGTTATAGCAAACCATGTGAGGTTATCTGCATTAGGAGAGATGCTTTCGCTGAGGATTTCTAAGTCTTATATTCATGTTGAGCATGGGAAAAGCCTAAAAGCTATATTCAGCCAACCAATTCTTCACAAATTGTGCCAGGACAACATTTACCCACTCGGCCATTTGTGGACACAAACATAACGGAAAAGCTAGGAGCTGAGAATTATTATTTAACTGTTGCTTAAAAATGATTTTCCTCACAAGAAATATCACTTAAAGTGTGAATTGCAACTTTTTTCGTAGCATATTTGAAGGAATTACTTATTGATCTATGGTAAAAGTGAATCCATGAAGCTATAAAATTTATTGCAATTAAGCGAATTCAACCTTTCCCCCCCCCCTTCCTGAATGGTGGGCACTATTTTATCTTAAAAAAAAATTTCAGACCACCAATGGAAACATGTTAAGATAATTTTAGGAGAGCGAAATGTTTTCAGCATGAAAATCATTTTTATTTTGAATCAGTGTTATGATCTATGTACGATTATAATGTAAGTACGATTCATTATAATTCAAAATTCATTATAATCTATGTACGATTATAATGAATTTTGAGAGTTATTAAATGAATGGAGAGCAGAAATTTATTGCAAACTTTATATAATGAAATCAAAGTCTGGGATATTTTATGTTATAAGACAACATGCACCAAACAGTTTTCTACAGAGAGATGTACGTTTCAATATTACTGCCTGTTATCTACTATTAAATTAAATGAGCAAAGAATCAAAGAATTACATGTACAAATAACCTAAGTATTTTGATTATTAAACAATATGATATTGCATGATATATTATTACAATGAGATGAAATGCATCTTGAAACAAAATCGATTTAAAATTTTTACTGTTTTCTGCATGGAAATTAGTATACTGCAAGAAACAGAAAATCAAAAAAGCCTTCCAGTTAAAAACTATAACTGTCTATAAAGCCAAAGTCTATTGGAGGGGGGAAAATATGTAAACACAGCTCTGGTTTTAAGTGTTTTCAGTTTGGTCAAAAGTATTTAAGAGGATAATATCAGACATGGTTAGGTAATCGCTTTCTGGAGAAAGATATATTTAAAAGTTCTGAGTATTTTAACTTGCTGAAACATATATCATATCACCATCAGAAATGAAAAATATTTTGTACAAGTTTACTTGCATGCTATCATGCTTCTACAGAAGCATGCAGTGTAATGGAATAGTGATTCTAGAAATAATTGTGTTTATATGTAGAGAGCAAGGGGGGAGTAAGAAATTTAGAACCAGTAGCATATTGCACAGAAATAATATTGAGATAATTTTGTGTTAAAATAAAAATTTAATATATATATATAACAATTTTTACAAACATAAGTACTTTTCCGTTTCGCCGGCGCAAATCTCTGCTAGGCATCTCTGCTACTTTATTGGCGACAGCATACAGTATACACATAAAAAATGTTAGTTCTAAAAATTTTTTATTTTGAAGGCATAAACATAATAATATCATTTAAAATTTAGTAAAAAGCCAATAAATAAAGGCAATAAATTTGCAAAAGGACATTAAGAATTTTCGACATTAATTTAAGAATTAATGAATAATTATACTTTCATGTTTCAACAAGCTGATTCACCAGTTCATATTACATGATCCCAAGTAATCTCATCGCACATAAAGTACGCTACAAAAATATAATTCAGTAATTATCTACATTAATGTCAAGTTAAATTTTAATTTGGAATAAAAGTTTAAATGCAAGAATTATTTCAATTTGTATGAAAAGCTTACTCAGAAATTATGTAAAACCACAGTGCTTTATTTCGTTAGAGTATTCTCATTAGAATTGATGAATTTAACCTGTGACTTTGCCTTTTTTGTATTTTCACTTTCGGGTGAGCGGTGTGATTGCATTTTAATTGACTTAATTACTGTGAATAGACTTATGGCATAAAATTTTATTATCTAGTAAACATTCTATGTAATTGTATGGTAGTATTGAAAGAACCAATCAATATGATAGGAAATGGCTGCTACTTGTTTTAAAAATGAGGCATAAAAGGTTACCAGCAAGGATATTCCGTTTGGCATCAATTGTACCATTATTGGCGACTTTATCGCCTGCGCCGGCAAAACGGAAAAATACCCAAACATGCTTTAAAACCTTTCAATAAAAAGCACAGCTGCATTTGCACTTCATCATATTTTACTGGAATGACTAAAATAGTTTTTGCTTGGTATTTTTTACTTTATATATATACATACGAATAGATATTTAACAAAATATTTAAATACAATTTTATGAAGCTGCAGTTGATAAAAAAGTGTAATAAGTATAAAAATTGGTAAGCTTACTAATTTATCAAAAACTGACAATATTTAATTTATTTGTTCTGTTTTATCTGTAGCACATGGTCAGTTTGTGGATACAAAAAAATAAATAAAATAAAACTAGCCATAAATTTTTTAAAAAATGCAGTTTTGTTAAAGGTTATTATAGGAAATAAATGTTTTATTTTCATTTTTACGATAAAAAATTTCTCCTGAATGTCATGAACAGTACATTACTGGTTATTAATTCATAGTAATTAAATGAGAGGGTACTTTACAGTTTTATCTCACGTCAGTTAAATTAGATTATTTCCATAAATTTTTCTCTGAAGAATACTACAATTTCTTTTATTAGCTCAGTCATATCTATTTTACTAGATACACCTAACATGTTCATTCTCTAATGAAAGGAGCGCATTTTGGCTTTCTTATGGACAATATAAATGCACACATGTTCCAGTTGTGTATAGTCAGGATAGCTTGGTACATACTGCCTGCTTTTTAATATCCATGAAAAAGAGGCTCTATAATGGATGTAGTGTCATTCTTTGGTAAGAACATCAATAAACTTAAATACTTTTTTCAATGTGCTTCTTAAAGGAAACTGAATGCAAGCAGAAATAGGGACGAAATCCTGAATTCACGTAGTATGCAATGTGAAACTTCCTTCTTCATACAAGAAGATACTTCTTATTTAATTCATGGATAATAATAATTTTGAGAGGATTCGTCTTAATTGATTGATTGATAGTGTAAATCTCAGGAATACATATTACAGCTAACATATTTCATTGCAACTTAATTCTAAAATTTGCAAAATGCAGGGGAAAAAAAATCCTTTAAGGTCCAAAAGCACAGTCTTGTGGTAGAACACATCTGGTTGAATCTTCATCATAAATATACGGATAAGTACAGATACATCCGCCTCGTCTGCAGTCCAGGCTGCAAAATGGTGGATTTTTTTCAAAGCAAGTTGGCATGCAATCTTGATAACATTCTTCATAGCTACTATGCTTAGGGCATTCTGAAATATAAAAGAAATTGCTACTTAAAAGTGAATGCAGTGGAAAACATGCTATTGAGTTACAAAACATTAGGTTGGAGGGGGATGCTTTATATAATCCTTTAATCTTAATTAAATTTTATGCAGTATGTACAAGTGAAGCATTTTTCGCAGATATAAGCTGAATGATCCTTGCAGATGAAATGCTTGTGTTTAAAACAAGAAATTGTGGTTTTCTTGTCCTTGATTCGAGCACAAATTACACTGTCCTTTACCATGCCTTATTCTCTTTGTCAATTTTCCAACATGCATCACAACTGATATTACACCTCGATAATTCAGTTCGTGTTTCATTACTGGCTCACGAATACTTTGTAATACTATCAAATGGTGTGGGCATATATCATAAAATTTAAAAGTGCACGCAGTACTTCCCTCTTCATTTTATTTGTGTTCCAGCATTCCAAATTCATAGTAATTCGTAAATATTCTTTCAGTAAAAGAGCTGGTTCAGCTTGCAATATTATTTACAAGCTAGAATCAAAATGTTTCTGACGGTTTACATACATAGATGCATACATGAACACATATATCCATCCATACCAATACAAACATACATATATTTCTGAACCTGGTCTCAATAACAGAAGAATACCAGAAATTTTACATGAAAATTATAAACATTCATAATTTCTTGCTCTTTGCATATTGCAATTAAAAACGTTATAGAGTTTCTCACTTTTCTTTTGTCATTAAATGACGAGGAACCTAGTGAACTGCTAAGTGAATAATCACTTAGCAGTTCACTAGGTTTTTCGAGCTTGGTTAAGCGAATAATCGCTTAAGTCCAAGAATAGAAACGTAAACCTAATGTCCCAATCACATTATGTTTCGGCTACGCGGGACTTGACGTCGAAAGGGACACTTCTCAGAACCCGCACAATTCCAGGAAACCCATGTAGCTAGGTTACCATTCTCACTTACTACAAACACCTTGAATGCCAAACAGTAATTGATTTTTGCTCAAACCGGGATCACGTGATCCTTCAGAAGCAGAACTTTCGATTTGTTTGCCTCTACCCAGGATCCGAGACATTTTCGGTGAGGTTGAAAAACATCCCGCTTAGCCGCAGCATTGTTTCCCTAGCTAGGTGGGACTTCGCTTCAGGTGGCGCTCTTTTTTCTACGAATCCTCCCATTTAAACTAGTACTACCAGAACCTCGTTTCTCAGAAAAGTCTAGTCTAGCAGAGACTGACACTCCAAACGAAAGATTTCCGACCCAGGTCCATATTCTAAAGGATCCATACAGAGTTTAGATATCCATCATCCGTGGGACCTCATCCTCACGGGCGCAACCCTCGCAGTCCCCGCTTGTCTTTTACAAAGCACAGGCCAGACCGATACGTTGCTATGTTTAAAAACTAGGTCTCCTTGCCTCCGGGTACCACTCCATCGGCAAAAATTACATTGTTGTGGGTCCCTGCCACGAGAACTGAATGGGGCCAAACCCCGAGGACTCGGTCGACGATCTCCGATCTAGCCTGACCACAGCCGAAGGAACAGACACAACAGTACCAGTACGGTCCCTGCCAAGCCTGAACCAACCTGAGTACAATACTCGGGTTCTAGTCCTGTGAAGCCCCGTGGTTGAGACTGCCTAGGTGCAGATCCTAACCAGTGTCTAGCAGGGACTGTAGCCATGTGTAATACCATGTGTTAATTACCCTTTATTTGCTCAAAATAAGATTATCAGTCGACCCCCTTTCTTAGGGCGTACAGCAAGGACTCCACTTGGGCTTAAACTCAAAATGTAAGAAATAAGATCTAACTAATGAATAACTAAAGAGATTGAGCCGAAGCTAACATAGTTTTAAACTAGTTGGCCTGGGATATGAAATTAGCCAGCGAACCATCAAAAGGCACGTAATACGGTCGAGCGTAACAACAGCTTAGATAGACGTAACCCAAAGGTTAACGCGCCCTACTCAGGAATCCTAACTTTCGAAGTCAGTTGAACTCAACTTGAATACTATTCTCCTTCTCATTTGCATTCAACACAATTCTAAAATCTCATTCTGGTAGGGAGTTATAAGTTAAAGCTAGATGAGATAAGAAAGATGCATTAAATTAAAATAACTGTTATAAAATGTATATATACCTTACAACGTTTTTAATGGAGTCTTTCCAAAATGCTTAGAGTGTCACTGCATGTTACCGTACCAAGTACAATACAACTCCAATTATCCGAACTCCGACGATCCGAATCGCTTTCAGAATTTTTCAAATTCAACTGAAGAAGATAAGGAAAGGGAAAAGGCAGAAGAAGTCGAGGATGACGTGAGAAATTAAGAAGCATTCTTTTGAAAATTACTGAATATTTAGAAGTTAGTGCTGACGATAGACCCTGGGTTTTAAATTCTAAATGATGATGAACTTATTGAAAGTGTCGAGGAAGAAGGTGACCTTAATGTCGAAGTTGAAGCAGAACACGGGACCATCAGCTATTGAAGCGTTTGCCCGTCTTGAATCTACGTTAAAGGGGATGGAGGATCAGCCAAGGCCAACTAGATATCTACAGTCAAAAGTCGTTAATTCGGAATGATCTATAATCTGGACCTCAAAACTAAAAACTTTCTGCGCATGCGCCGAGTTGACACATGCGCATAGGCGTTTACACGTGGCGCGTAAGACCTTTACGACTGCGCATATGAGTGTGCGCAAGTGCAGAATACGTTTTCCGCGTCGCGTTTTATGTATAATGGACGTATAAGCTAAAATTATCTAATTATCTATTTCAGTTAATGTTGATGATTGCGTTGTTCCTTAATTTTCGAATTGGATCCGCTTATTTATTTTTTTTGCAGACTGTAAGAGCAATTTTATAAAAGTAAGCTTAAACTTTCGATTATATCAAATAGAATTTCCGATATATATTTGTTAATATGTAAAGGATCTAAAGCGAAGTATGTTTTGAAATCCAAATCTGTTATCATCTCAACGCTGCTCGGCGGGGGAACGCTGCGGCGGGCGCTAATGAATTGGAAGTTGATCTGTCAGCACTATCCTTATCTTCAGCGCAGATTTTTTATTTTATTGGATTATAATTCCTTACCAAATGTAGTATTTCATCTCGATATGCTCCGTCTTTGATATGATTTAAAAACAAGTTCCTCGTCATTATATTTGCTTCCGATAGCGAAGAAAAGTGACAGAGGTATTGAAAAAAAAAAGTTCAATTGACAAATTAGTCGGTGTTCTCGACACAGCAATTATAGGACTTGAACAGCGGAACTTTGTAACTGAACAAGAATTATGTCTGTTTAATAGAATTAAAGAGAAAGTATTATCACATGAAACGAAGCAAACTTAAACAACTTACATTGAAAGAAATGTTTAATAAAGTAAACAAATAAATATTAAGCTTTTTCTTTTTGCAAATTTTGATACCCTTTAGATCATAATTGTTCTTTATTTCATAAATTACGGTTTCATATTTTCAATTTTAGAATTTCTGCATGCCGTCTTACGAGATTTAAACTGATGATCTATAATCCGGAAAAATCGATAATCCGGAATCGCCGAAGTCCCGACGAGTCCGGATTAACGACTTTTGACTGTAGTTGGCCTTGGATCAGCCCCCTGTATGACCACATGCAGCTTCTCATTGTTAAATGGATGCGTGACTTGGCTGCTCGAAAACGGATGAATGCAGTCAAACAGCTTACTTTGACCGGATGTTTAGCAAGTAATGACTTTCAACACTTATAAGTACTGTACAACACGCTATATAACATGTACCTAAACGTGTTACCGTTTCATTTTAATTAATTAAAGATCTTTTTCTTTAAAAGCAGTTGTTTTTGTTCCATTTTCAACATACAGTAATTAATTAAAGTGTATGTAGACACTTTCTTCGGAAAAACTCCAATTATCCGAATTTTTGATTATCCGATGGAGTCCGGTCGCAATTGATTTGAATAACTGGAGTTCTACTGTACTTCTCAATAAATGCTGCCATTGCCACCAATATTCCATCCCTACACTTATGATTGAAAATTCATAGATCACGAGTCAACAACGGCCTTGATACTGGTGACCATGGGTTTGACGATCACCTGAGTCTCAATCAGTGTCAACGGTTCATATAATTCTAACAGTTTATCTTAGTTTACAGACTGAACCAAGATTTTGTGTAAGGAATAGAGAACAACATGGAACAGTAGCACTTGATAAAGGGTGCTGAAACGGCAGTAGAGAAATTTATCAAAAACAGTGTCTGGGTGAAAATGTGCTTTAGCCCACTGCTTGGCGATTTTCAGTAGCGGCGATTTTTTTTAAATCGCCAGTAAACGTATAAACAAAGTTGCAAAGGCGGAGCTATGTGACGTTCATAAATGGGTGGGACTAAGATTGTAACGTCACAATGTATTCTCTACAGATGTAGAAATAAGTATACTAAATTTTTTGTATTTCAAACTATTAAATACGGTAAGTGAATTGTAACAGTTATTAAAACTGTAAACACGTCGCAGTCTCTCATACAGGGTGAATATTTTTAAGCTTTAGTATTTATACAAAAAAAACAGATTTTTTTTAAATTTTAAATTTCATATTGCGGAACTTTAAACTTCAGCATCTTACAAAATTACCTTATTGCTACGTAACGACACCATCTCTTACATACTAGTAAGAAACAATCTTCATTATTTTCTAAAAATTTTTAAGCTTTTATATTAATAAAAAAAGGAAAAATATTTATTATTGAAACAACATCATACACAGCTTCATTTCCATGTTTCTTAAATTCCAAACCAGGTTCTACTTTCGTATTAGAATTCTCACATAATAAATTTAAAAAATCTTAATTTCTCACAATGAAAAAAATATTAAAAATAAGCAATTTTAAAACGAAAGTATTTTCACTTACCCTTTTCAGGAAAATAAAAAGTCTTTTGACATGATGGCACGTTTCGCTTGCATTCTAATAAAATAAAAATTTACATGACATTCACTCACCTCTCTCAGCATCCAGATAAATCCATAGCGATGTTTTTTTAACGAAATATATGTAAAAAATGGCAAAAAAACACACAGAAAACCACTCGATTGATAACTACCACATAAGAACATTCTAACGCAATGAATTAACTGCTCAATTCCGAAGTATAAATTCCAAAAGAAATCGTTGCTGGAAATTCTTTAACTGCAAGTATAGTTTTGAAAGCATAAATTATCGTCTGCTATTTGACAATTTTGTCTTCAGACATTTGTGCTCTCTCCAAGAAATTTATTCGTATCTAGTTGTTAAAAAACGCAGTGAAAGCCATGGCTTTTCGATATCTAAAGCTACAATAGGTAATATTGTCAACGATAAGAAATTTTAAAAAAGACACAAATATAATGAAATTAAAAAACAAAAAAATCTGAAATTTAAGATTTTACATTATGAGCCCCAAAAGGTGCGTTTTTTTAACAATTTGCGTGCTACCTTTATTAATTAAATATCATGTTCTTCGCACTTAAACCGTAAAATTCAGTTCAACAGCAATATCACAAAATAATTTTAAAATAAGCATCTTTAGATTTTCCGATACACAGTCTCGCGCGCTGGAGATAAAAATGTTTTTATCTATAGAGCATTGTCATTACTTGCTTTGAAATTCCTCAGTATGTTAATCAAAAATTCGTTAAAGTTTTACAAAATAGGAAAACGATAATAAAACAAATTTCAAATTTGGGCTTCCAGAAGCCCATATTCGCAGGAGGATGACATTCTAAATTTGATGTTTCTAGGTACCGTTGTTTTATCAAAATTGAGGGGGAAATACATACATTTATGAGGAATTTTTAATCATTTAATTCCTTTAAATATAATACAGGGCGATAATATTTGTTGGCCACAATTTGAAACATTGGCTTTTCCCATGTACACATCGATCTATTTTCACTTAAAAAAAATCCCAGAATTGCACAAACTCGGCATTGCGCACAACATTGGCTTTGCCCATGTGCACATCGATCTATTTTCACTTAAAAAAACATCCCAGAATTGCACAAACTCGGCATTGCGCACCACATTGGCTTTGCCCATGTGCACATCTATCTATTTTCACTTCAAAAAATCCCGGAATTGCACAGCGCACCACACTGGCTTTGCCCATGTACACATCGATCTATTTTCACTTTAAAAATCCCAGAATTGCACAAACTCGTCATTGCGCACCCCGTTGGCTTTGCCCATTTGCATCATCGATCTATTTCACTTAAAAAACATCCCAGAATTGCACAAACTCGGCATTGGCACCACATGGCGTTAACCCTGTTCACATCGATCTATTTTCACTAAAAAAAATCCCAGAATTGCACAAACTCGGGTTGCGCACCACATAGGCTTTTCCCATGTGCACATCAATCTATTTTCACTTAAAAAAAACATCCCAGAATTGCACAAACTCGACATTGCGCACCACATGGGCTTAGCCCATGTGCACATCGGTCTATTTTCACTTAAAAAAACATCCCAGAATTGCACAAACTCTGCATCGCGCACAACCTCGGCATTGCGCACCACATTGGCTTTGCCCATGTGGACATCGATCTATTTTCACTTAAAAAAAAAACATCCCAGAATTGCACAAACTCGGCATCACGCACAACGTCGGCACTGCGCACTACATTGGCTTTGCCCATGTACATATCGATCTATTTTCGTTAAAAAAACATCAGGGAATTGCACAACGTTAGCTTTTCCAATCTTCTAGGATTGAGCCAAAAAGAAATACAAAATATTAAAATAAGCAACTTCAAAACGAACCATACAAAAAAAATTTTTTCACTTACCCTTTTCGACAAAAATGTAAAGTCTTTTTGAGGGGTTTTATATATGAATTTATTTTAGGGGGAAACCCTTTTGGATCCCCCCTCATCTTTAAATAAATTTACAAACGTTTATACGCCGTTTCCGTAACTATATGCAGAAAAAAGGCTAAAACCACAGGGAAAAAACACTCGATTTAAAAAAGAAACCACATAAAAAACATTCAAAAGCGCCACAAATTAACAAGTAAAAAAATAAATAAATAAAAATTAATGAAAGCTTTTAGATTTTTACATTACGCCCTGTTTTTTTTTAACGTTTTGTGTGTTACATTTCTTTATCATATAATGTTCTTTACACTTAAACCATAAAATTCAGTTCAACAGCAATATCGCAAAATAATTCTAAAATGAGCGCTCTGCACGTAAATTTTTGTTTTTTTTCCCGTACTGTGTTGCAGTTGCTCGCTTTGAAATCTTTGAGTTTTCTAATAAAAATTTCGTTCAAGTTTTAAAAAATATCAATCAGATAATAAAAAAAAATTCCAAGTTTGGGCTTCTAGATGCCCATATTAGGTTGGAAACGTATGTTATTCAAAATTTGATGGCTCTAGTACCGTTGTTTTTATCACAATGCGAGAAACATTTTTATGCAGATTTTTCAATTTTAATTTTCTTTAAATACACACAGGGCGATAACATTTAGTGGCAACAGAATAACAACATAGCTTCAAAACATCGGGTTAACCATGTTGGCGCGTTTATTGCCCATTGAAACACAATCGCCAAGCAGTGAGCTAAACCGCATTTTAACCCAGTGTCTGAAATCTAATAAGCAACAGTGATGGTAGATTCATATTATATATAGGATTCATTTTTCTTCTGGAAATCGTAGTGCTACTTTGGTAGACGGTTGCACGGATTTTTGGCGATTTACGTTGGCCGAATTGTTGGCGCGATTTTTACAAACGTCAGCCATCTTGAAAAACGCTGTTTTTACGCATAGTAAAGTATTCGAAACTTAAAAATAAATAAATAAATATCGTTAAAAGTAATGGATTAATTTTTTGTTGAAAATGTCATTTTTTAAGATGGCAGGCAAGTGTAAATAAATACATTTACTATGAGTATAAAATACTAAAGTAAGGTTATTATTACTTTCATATAGCAAAGAGAAATAAAAACATTGGGCCAACGTTTAATTAGATTAAAATATTACTGAAATTGAATATCGAATTAAAAACCATCATACCAACATTTAAAAGAATTAGAATATTATTAAATTCAAATACTTTAAAATACGTTATATAGAATATAATTAACATTAAAACATATGGACAATAATTATCTCAGCATTTCTGAAAATAGTGTATTAATTTTTTTAACAAAATTGAAGTATACAATTATAAATAAAAGAAAAATTGTACTACATTTTTTTGAGTGTTTAACCTGTTGTTTATTGATAAATACCACAATAAAAAAAATCAGAATCATAATTTAGATAACATCTTTGAAGGAATTCGAAGATATAAATTAAATTTTTAAAACGGCGCGGAAATGCACAATTGTCATTAACCAATCAGGAGCTGATTACAGCTCGTTAATGCACAAATATTCTATAACCAATCAGAGAGCTTATTACATCACGGCTAGAATTAAAATTATTTAAAAATTCATACATATAAAATCATTTTTTAAAAAAAATGCAAAATTAAATTGTATTTTAATATTTAAACAGCCATAAATAATGTTTAAAACATTAGATTAAATTTATACATATTAAAGCGAATTACTTTTAAAGTAAGGTGACGTCATTGATTACATCATCCAACACATAAAATTTCATAAAATATGATAAACAATAAAATTTTTATTTCAAATAAAAATGCAAAATTAAATTGATTTTTAATATTTAAAAGCCATAAATATATTTTAAAACACGGAATTTATGCACAATAAACACGCATTATTTTTTAAATAAAATGACAACAAAGTATCGGTTACCAAAAATAACTTATCCAGCAATGGGTTTACCATAAGTTGTATTACTCGCCAAAGGAAAATCGCCAAAATCCGTGCAACCGTCTACCAAAGTAGCACCGAAATCGTTTATAATTTTGCCTTTTCAAAGTTTTAATAACAGACTTTATCATATTCGAAATTGCACACGAATTAGTGTTTGTATAACGGCCATTAAACAACGAGAATGTTCATCATAAAATATCATAACTTTATTAAGAAAGCTGCAATTTTATTAAATTTTGTTAATGCGAAATATATATTCACTTACCGCCCTTCTGGAGTTTGAGCGTATCAGCTGGAAAACTCCAGAACGCATCAACTATCAGAATTAAAATCGATATGCTCCAAATGAATCTGTTCATGTTTCATGAAATGCAGAGCACTTTTGTAACAAAAATGCCTTAATTATAAGCACGTTTGTATCCTTTCTTTTTTATACCATAGGCATTATGCTAGTAGAACTGTCGGCTAAATCGCAGAATAGGCTGCATCAGTCGATGCTGTGTTTACTTCTCTTATACTTGGACACGCCTTTTTATGACGTAATATTGGTTACGCCTCTCCTTAAAAACAAGTTATAAGTATGCTATAGCTTCGTATTTAAAGAAAACTTAAATGAAGTTTTAACTGAGTTGAAATGGTAGGTTTATAATGTTCTGCGCGAGATTTTTTTAATTATAAATCTACTTTTGTGTTGTGTGTGGTGGTGTTAGCATTTAACGCAACGAATTATCTCTGACAAATATGTTATTAAGATACCAAACGATTGAAAACGATCATTACCAAACGATTGAAAATATTGAATGCATGAGTTAAAAATTATAACCGTAACTTCTGAAAATGCAGAAAAGCATTCTTTTGCTTAAAGAATGTTTTAGATTATTGATGAGTGTGTCAAAATCGGTGCTACTGCAGAATGGATGGAGTATCTGAATCTGGATTTTTTAATCAGATGGAGCAAAGAGGCAAAAAGAGCGTTATTGAGTGGTGTATGGAGAAAAGTTTGATTGCAATATCGTATAAGTGCCCAATTTGTGGAACAAATATGAAACTAGTAGAGAGACGGTTTTGAGACGTATAGACGATTTTGAGTGGTGCGCAATGCCGAGTTTGTGCAACTCTGAGATTTTTTTTAAGTGAAAATTGATCGATGTGCACATGGGCAAAGCCAATGCTGTGCGCGATGCCGAGTTTGTGCAATTCTGGGATGTTTTTTTAAGTGAAAATAGATCGATGTGCACATGGGCAAAGCCAATGTGGTGCGCAATGCCGAGGTTGTGCGCGATGCCAATTTTGTGCAACTCTGGGATATTTTTTTTAAGTGAAAATAGATCGATGTGCACATAGGCAAAGTCAATGTGGTGCGAAATGCCGAGTTTGAGCAATTCTCTGATTTTTCGTTAAGTGAAACTAGATGGATGAGCCACATGGACACCGAGTTTTTTGGAATTCTTTGATGTTTTTTCAAGCGAAATACGGATCGTTGTGTAAAAGGGAAACGAGGTTGTGTGTATGCCGAGCAGTAATGTAACTTTATTTATATGTGCAATGTTTAACATATCGTTTTGTGTATTTAAAATTTGTATTGTTGTTTTAATTGTGAATTATATTTAATATCATCATTTTTCATTTAAATTGTATTTTTTAATTTTTTGGTTTTGATATGTTTATAACGCTTTCCGACTTGCGACATATATCGATAAGCCCGACGATCTACTCAACAGTAGCAAAATTGTAAACTGTAACCCTTTGAAGTAACGTTTACTTCCATATTTTAATGCGTAGTGTTTGGTATGGTAATTGCACTTGATAATACGAGTTCATTGTATATATATTCATTGTATTCAATATGTGTGTGTGTGCGTATGTGAACCATTGCTTAGGGTTCCAAGTTTGTAGTATTTATTTTATTATATTATTTCCTTTCATTCTGAGAAATTAGATTTTTTTTTTTATTTATTAATGCGTAGAATTCTAGTATGCCTACACAGAATATGGCGTGATTTAGGAATTTTAGAAACTGATATGAAAGCTGTGTAATGATGTGTTCATATGCAATAAAAATATTTCTTTTTTTATTAAATGTAAAGTTTAAAATTTTTAGAAAATAATGAAAATTGTCTAATTATTGGTATGTAAGGAATTATGTCGTTACGTAGCAAGAAGGTAATTTGTAAAAATGAGAAAATTGAAATGTTCCACAATATGAATTTAATTTTTTTATTATTTTATAAATGTTTTAATAAAAATCTTTGAAAACGTTGAAGCTCTACAAGTATTAGAGACTGCGACGTTGTTTATCGTTTTAATAATTGGTAGAATTCGCTCACTGTATCATGGTAATTTTAAATACCAACAATTTATTATACTTATTATGAGTAACGCCTAAGCTTAAATGTTATAAACGTAAATCAAAAGTAAAGAATTTGATATTAATTTACAATAATAAACAATTTATTATTGTTATTTTTAAGAGAAAATAGAAAGTACACGTAGTGTAAATGCGAGACTACCATGGACCTTATAAGGTCCATGGAGACTACATTGTGACGTCATAAGCTTAGTCCCACCCATTTATGGACGTCACACAGCTCCTCCTACTGAACTTTGTTGATGCAGCCTATTCTGCGCTTTTACCGAACTGTCCAACTGCCTTTTTTATAAACAACATAAGACAATCAATGCATTGTAATAAAAATTATTAATATTTATTGCATTCCAAAACAATCCTTTTGTAAAATTCTCAGCTTATGCCAGATACAAGTTTTCAATTTCTTAATAGAAAAATTAATTCTAGAGCGAAATTTTTACACGTGCTTTTATAAGATAAGAATCACTAATTTGTTTAATAATACATTAAATATACTCGATTCAATTCACCTATAGGTGGTGCTTTCAGAGTATAGAGGGGGGGGGAAACTGAAATAAAAAAAAAATTAAAAAAGATTCAGATTTTAAATTACGTCCAAAGGGGCGTTTTTTTAACATTTTGTATGTTACCTTTATTTATTAAATATCACGTTCTTCGCACTTAAACTATATACTTCAGTTCAAGAGCAATATCGCAAAATATTTTTAAATTTAGCATATCTTCAGAATTTATGACACACAGTCTCACGCGCTGGAGTTAAAAATGTTTTTTCTGTACAGCGTTGCCATTGCCTGCTTTGAAATCCTTGAGTTTTTTAATCAAAAATTCGCTAAAGATTTACAAAATATGAAATCCATAATAAAACAAATTTCAAATTTGGGCTTCCACATACCCATATTCACAGTAGGATTACGTCATTCAAAACTGAATGGCTCTAGGTACCGTTGTTTCATCACAATACGAGAAATATATATACATTTATGCAAATTTTTCATTATTTAATTTCTTCAAGTTTTATGCAGGACTCTAACATTTGGTGGCAACAGTTTGAAAAGTGATACGGACATTTATAGTAAACCAATACAAAATCGCAAAAAGAAAACAATAGTCCTTCAGAGGCAAAGCCCTTTTGAACTAATAAATATTATTCACGTGAAGAAGGAGTTCCTGGTTGTACTTTTGCATCCGGTAAAGCGGATATGGACTTTGTGTGTGTTATTTATTTGATGTTACATTTTCCTTTACTGATTACAATTTTACTTTTTATTAAATGTGTTTTGTACTTTTACGGCCAACGCCTATTACAAGAATTGCCGGACTGTGATTTATTACTCTTCAAATCTGATCTCCCGCAACAAATTGCACAAGAAACTTAAATTAAAAATTCTATGCTATGCTTAAATTAAATCTTATCTTCAAAGGCAACAATTCAATATGAACTCTGTAATATAATTGTATCTTCATCACTGCAAGTTCACCTTCATCGACAATCAGACTACATTCACACCGAAAATTGAAATGTAATGTTAGAGAATCTAGCGCATTCTAATACTGTTAATAGATCATTTATGAAATTTCTCATCGTTTACCGAAGTAATGATTTTTAATTGAACGCTCATTTCATCTCATAACTTTCCCAACCGAACTCTTTGTTTTCGGGTGATGGTGCACCTTACTTTACATCATCGTAATTCGCCTTAGAGCATAAACCAAAGATTACTGGTTAAAACTTTATGCAGAGCTCCTGGTTGCTATGAACACTGTGTCACTGTTTTATTGTATTGTAAAAGGTAATTGATTTTTAATGTTAGTTTTACTGATTGCAAACAAATGATTCCTATGTTTTTTTATTTGTTTAACCTGAGATTTAAAGATAAGCCGGCCAGTCAGAAATGTTTCTTTTATAAAAACTACATTGAACTGACATATATTAAAAAAACGTTATTGAATTTATTTATACAGTGCTGATCGGTTAACGAACATAATCTGTTACAAGACTATATTCGCTATCCGAATTGTTCGTTAACCTTTCATCGACTTACCATAATTTTTTTAATCGATTAATTTGTTCTGGAGATCCTAAAAATTAAATTAAAGAAAAGCATGTATAATTTCTTAGTAAGTTTATTAAAAAATACATACATATAGTCTTGCATATTAATCAGTCCTTTTCATTTTTTGTTTGTGGGGCGTTAAAGAACATGTCCAATATTGATTGCTTTTCTCTCTTTGTCAGGATTTTCCGAAAGTGATTAATAGCATTGCCGTTGTAAAATCCCCAATCCTACTGACATCAGCTTGGTTTGGGTGCCATTCTAAGACCATTGCTCTGACACCCTCCCACTTGCTGTGTTTCTTGGTGTTCTTCATTCAAGATTTGTTGGAGTTCTTCTGTCGTCAGTTTATCTCCGTGTTTCATTATAAGCTCTCCTATATTATCCTCGTTCCTCGTTCAACTCCAATTCCAGATCTCTAGCAGTTGTCAAAATTTTATCCATAATTTCAGGGGTGTCTTCCTGGTCACCTCCGACTCCTTGAAGGAAGGATGGACACAGCTTTCGCAGTTTTTTTTTTTTTTTTTTCAGAATAGAACTTTGAAGTTTAATAGGCAAGCAACATAATTCAAGAGAGATCAAAAACGATTTTTGTTCCGTTGGGTTTGACTACCCTGCACATTATGCTCCGAGAGCCGAAAAGTGTTCGTAAGAATTCGTTTTTGTTCGTTATCCGAATATGGGTTCATAGTTCGAACACAAAAATCTTTTGTGAAAGTGTTCGTTGTCCGAACTGTTCGTTAATTGATAACCCACTGTATTGCATAAATTATATTGAACCCCATAAAAGCATTCTGTATTTTCAAGCAAGACATTTACACTTACAGTATCAACTTCACTGAAGAATCACTGAAGCTGCCTTTTCATCAGTTTTGTTTCTCTAATGCCCTTGTTATTAATAACTTGTGCTGTTGCCACTCCTACTGAACTTAACATTTCCTGTTTGTTATTAATTAATCGTTTGTTTTGTAATTTTTATTTGATGTACGAATTTGGCTACCAGTTTTGTTTTGGAAAGTTATGATCTGGAAATTCCCGTTCTAAGTAAGCAGCAGTTACGTTACGTTACTGAGATATTGAACTTTTTTCATCATTAAGATATGTGGATTCATTTGATCATTATACTAAACTCTATAACTCTATATGTAAATAGTCGCAGTAATCTGTATGTGTTTGTAAAGTGAAATAAATTAGATATTAAACAAAGTTAGATTTCGAGTCAAAACATGTGCATTTACTATTATTTTGCGTTGACCAGTTATTTATAATTTTAGCCTTCATTATCCCTTCTTCTTTCCATTTCCTCACCAGAATACAAACTAGTCAGAGAGTATTTAAGGTGAGGATTTTGGATTTTAAAACAGAACATATTTCTGCCTCTAGAGACCACGTTTCTAGGTTTCGCCAGCTTTGATAAGATTTTAATTACTCGGCTTCACATTATAGCTGCTGTCATCTAAATTGTTACGCCAGTTAAGGTTTGAGCCAAATTTGATTTCAATTAACTTCTGTAGTCTTTGACTACTACATTTGATTGCTACTATTTTGACTACATTTCAATTTAAATTTGACTTTTACTTTAGTTCCATCGCCACAAAAGACGGTTGATCTTGTTAAGAACTAAAAATGCTTTTATATTCAAGTTTTGTTAAATAAAAAGGTTATTTTAACCTTCTCAAGTCTCTGTAGTTAATTTCAATCCAAGCGAAAATTCGCTTCAAGTTTTGAACTGGTTTTGCAACCAAAGCAAGTCAAACTCTATAAACTTTATATCTGAGCCGAAAATTCAAGGAAAATTTGTAACAAGGCTGTTAATTACATTACATTGTAGAGTCATTAGGTTAATTGGACGCAGAAAAGGTGATAAATAGCAAACGCTTTCGCCGGGAATCGAGCCACGGTCCTCTGGAATACCGGCCCAGCATGCAGAACCACTACACCACAAAGGACGCTAGGAAAGTGGGAGAAATACCTTATATACTCCCCTTTTTAAAGGGCGACTACGGTTTTATGGAACCTAGTCTCCAAATCCTGGGTGTAGAGTATCATCATTCACAACTCTTTTAGTTCGGGCGCCACTGTAGAGACATTAGGTTAATTGGAGGCAGAAAAGATGAAAAATAGCAAACGCCTTCGCCGGTAATCGAACCACGGACCCCTGGAATACCGGCCCAGCGTGCAGAACCACTACACCACGAAGGACGCTAGGAAAGTGGGAGAAATAACTTATAACATGAGCTTCACCATCAATTCACAATATTAGCTTTTCCATATCGCGATGTTTTGCACAAAATATTGAAGCTAAATCTCCAGATAGAAATACTTTCACCACGACATGATGGTCTTGTATTAAAATAAAATATAAGCGGCCCAATCGGTATAGTGGTTAACGTCGCTGACTGCCGTGATGAAGAGCCTGGGCTCGAATCCCGGAGAAGGCATGGATGTCTGTAAATGTATTGTATTGGTGCGACATAGCGGAAATCTAAATATGCGGCTAGCCGAAGGTCCTCTCGTGTGGTTTGGTAGAAGGGGAGAAGGCTGGGAGAGCGGTCCCCCCTCTCCATCAAAATTGGGGGCGGAACTGAGCCAAATTGCACTGTCACCTGTTAGGTGCTCAAGGCCAAGGGTAGGCGTAATCTTTCGCTCCTTGCCACGAAAAATTTCCTGGGTTTGGGTTGACTACATCAGGCAAGTGAGCATAAGCGACAACAACAACAATAAAATATAATTTTAGTGATGTTGGTAATATAAATTACTTTATACCAAATAATTATTCAGATTTCCTAAATAAATTATAGCATTCATGGCAACCAAACACATAAAAATATGTTACAGATTTGTTGTAAAGTTGATGATGTGACTTTCACTATAACATTATAATTTAACACAAAAAATATAAGGTACTTATATACATTTTCCTATCAACCGTAAAAATCGATGCAAATATTGTCAGACTTGCGGAAATCATTCCGACAGATAATATTTTGGCAGTCAGGCACGTGAGTGAAGCTTGGCAATCTGGTCACATGAGAATTCCGGACATTGTTGTGGCTGAATGTAATCCAATGACGGCACAGAAGAATTTAACTTTATAGCTCCATATCTTTATTCAATTCAAACGGCAGATCATCATTCTTTTAGATTACATTCTCTCTCTTACATTGAAATTGCGGAAAGTTAATTAGAGGTTGCCTGTTCGCGTAGAGCAAAGCTATGTAAGATAAAGAAAGTACAAATCAAAAATTATAATTTAAAATGCCTCTTAATCATTTTTAATTTGGGTACTTTTTCTCAACGGACAGTCTATACATTAATGCATGACCATAGACTTTCCTACCTTTCCAATCAACAACAGTGCAATGATTCATATCAAGTTGATACTGACAAAATACATAGGAATTTAATTCTAAGCAGAATGCATAAATGAAATGAATTGCCGTTAAAAAAGTGAAATCCTTCAAATCAATTTTGAGAATGTAATCCTTTTTTCCCTCGTCACGTCCTATCTTCACATCTTCCTCTCGGCGTTTCCTTTGAATTGAAACAGAGCTTTATTTTTATGGTTTTTCGTGCACTTTCATTCAGACTGAATAATTTCTCGTTATGAAGAAACTATGCTTCATCATCAAGTAAGTCGTAAATTTTCGTATGCACGGTAAATACAGTAATAACAACTGACCATTACATCTTTAGAATTTGTATTCTCATTGCCCACTTTGAAAAGGCATTCTTTGACTTCTTTTTTAAAAAAGTATACTTTTTCGATCAGATCGATTTGCAGTGAGTCGAACTAACAGTTTCAATAGAGTTAATAATATGCAGATTGACTGGGTATATCATTCAACCACTCTAAAAACCTCATTTGGGATGTGGCTGGGAATCAACACTAATTTGAGCGTTTGATGCATACTTCATTTCGAGAAGTTGGCAATAATTGAGCAACAGCGTTTCTACACTGTTGTTGTCTCGACATGGCGACTGAAAATGCGATGGATCTGAATTCTTTAGTTTACTCCTTTTTGCAGAAACATTGTCCACCCAGCGCTAAATTGTTCGCTAAATCTAAGAAACCGGTATGTATTTAGTGATTTTCTTTTCATTTTCATGTTTTATATAATGTATTTTCAGCCATCGGTTCATGGTCAAAAACACGTGGAGTACTTGTATAAATAGTTCTTTCATAATTTCAGGAATTATTCATAGTGTTAAGATGGAAATAGCGATGAATTTTTCATTAAATACTTGTTTTAATAGGCAGTCTGATCTGGGAAGTACATGTAATGACATTATCATCTCATTGAAAGACGTATTTGGCTATATCTGATAAGAAATGCACAGGTGTCATATAATAATTTATAAAAATTATTTGCTTAAATAGTTATTACCGTGTATAAATTTTATGAATAAGCTTGGAATGATACATAACATTATAACACGAATGCAAATAAACAAATTTAAGAGCACTGATTATAATATAAAACTGTAGCATAAAGGAATAAAAATAAAAACAAGGGGAGTTCAGAAAGAAAAGATTAACCTCAGAAAATTTATGCTTATGAATTTAACCCGGGAGGACGTGCGCTGTATTATGTAACACGAGAACGCGCATGAGGTGTCAACACATCCCAAGCAATTAAATGACGTACAAATTAAACATATTATTACAATTCAATAAAAGATTGCATTCTCTATTAACTGCAACATTTATTATATATAATAGCTTAAAATAATGCTAATTTTAAAATTAATAACAAATAGAAAAATTTTTTTCAGATGTCTAGGATTCATTGATTTCTAAGAGAAATGTTTGTTTTTTTTATTTGTGAATGCACTTATAATCCAAATTATGCAGAATTATTACCTGAACAACGAGTTATATAATTAATATTGAAATCAATTAGGCCCAAGAAGCATTAGATATCTTGTAATATATACATGAAGCATCTACTATTTCACAGTGCTCTTGACATGTTTTTTGCACTTCACATATACAGTTTTTGATTTTCTGTCTTTTTTCCTTCAGCACATGTGAAATCTCCTGTATTATATTTTTTTCCCTTTTTTTTATGGTTCATCAAATCATTTTCTGTAAGAAATTGGCCAATTCATAACTGGTATACCAACTATCTGTGGTAAAGTTTCTTCCAGATTTGTAAAATGGAGCTAGGATGTGCTTTGCTGTTTTACTAGAACTGCTGACTATCTTGTACGGCCCTTCTGCCTGCTGACATGAAAGCATAGAAGGTTCTAGAATCAACCACAGCAAATATTTTTATACCATATCTTGCAGGTTTCTTAGGTATGTACTGCCGAAAGGAGCATCGTCCTCGAAAAGGTTCTAGCTTTTCTTTCAAAGTCACGTATTCCCCTACATGATATAATTTCTATTTTTGTCAATTCTTGACAAAATTTTGAAATAAATCTCTTATTGGAGCTATTTTATCCTTTCCTATAAAATAGTCAGTTTGATCCCAAGGAATGTCTTCTGAAGAGCCGCACTCTTCATCTGATTCAGACTCATGATCACTAAATATATCTATATTTTCTGAATCTTTTAATTCTTCTATCGAATCATCATCCGACGAAACACCCTCTAATAATTTTTGAAGTCTTTTCATTTCTTGATCATACGTCAAATGAGGAAAAGACCGAACAGAGAGACTTGCACTCGCCATGGCTCACACTGAAAAATAGTAACACGAAAGCGCACGTGGGGTGTCGGCACACCCCCAAACTGTTATTTAAACAACAATAAATGCTCGGAATTTGTCGTTTCCTCTCGAGATGTATAGAACATGACCTTGAAGGCAGCTATTGATGGACCTAAGCATTTCAGATTATAGGGGGAGATTGCCAGCGAATTTGTTTGAGCGTGGGGTGCTGATACACCCCACGCGCGTCTTCCCGGGTTAATGGAGAATGTGATCTCCTTTTACTTGTACACACATATCACTTCTTCATGCTAGCAGTAATATTAACCACAATTTGGGGAATTAAGTTCCATTCTTTCAGCAATAGTGTCTTTAGGACATTTACTTTTCTAGGAGAATGTTTCCATGCAACTACTTTTCCAGTGTAGTCCCATACATTCTATCGGATTAAGAGCAGGAGACTTTGTTGGCCTGGGTATTTACTCAGTGCCTCCCTTTTCAATTAATTCGTCAAAGAGGATTGCCCTGTGTGGATGAGAATTCTTGTTCATAAATAAAATATCAGATTCATATGCACACCTGTAAAGTCGTACATGTAAGATTTCATTCCGATATCTGGCTTGTCAGATTCGCTTTCGAAAATGTGTGTATCCATTGATCATTATTCCTCCCTGTAACATCACACCTGCATTACCAAAACAGTTACATTCCATAATGTTGTAAGATTATTGATTCCTTCCAGATTCAAATGTATTTAGAATAAGATGTTAAAATTAACTTTTACTCATCAGTAAAGAGAACAGTGGACCTTTAGTGTTTACTCTAATTCTGATGCTTTTTGCACCAATTAAAGCAGTCACTGTTCTGTTGTGAAGACATTCCTTTGTCTTGGTCATACAGAATCCCAGGGTGTTCTCCTAGGATCTTCCGTCACTCTTTCCCTTCCATGAACCTCTCATGTGAGAATTTGTTTTATAATGTAGTTTTAGTTATCATAACTGTTTAGTTAAGATAGTTATTACTGTGTATAAATTTTATGAATAAGCTTGGAATGATATGCAACATCACAACGCATAAATACAAAGGAAGAAATTTAAGAGCACTGATTATGATATAAAACTGTAGCATGAAACAATAAGAATAGTAATAATATGTTACAAGGAGAGTTCAGAAAGAAAAGAATAAAAAGTTTAGGCTTATGAATTTGGCTAAAGTGCAGAGTTGCCCACTTATTTGTTTGGCGCTTTTTACAAGAGTAAGAAGAATTGGATTTTTGTCAATTTTCTTTTTTGACTTTTTAAGTGAAAATAGGTCGGCGTGTACATGGATTAAGTCAAAGGAGTACGCAATGCCATTTTTTTGCAATTCTGGGATTAAGTGAAAATAGGTCGATGTGTACATGGATACCGAGTATGTGCAATTCTTAAAAACGCGCCAAGCAGAGGGCGATTCTGCACTTTCCCCATGATTTTCATAGAGAATGTGATCTTCCGTGAATTGTTTACATATATCATGTTTTCATGCTACCAATAATATTAACCACAGTTAGGGGAGTTAAGTTCCATTCCTTCAGCAATACAGACTTAAGGACATTTATATTTCTAGAAGAAGGATGTTTCCATGCAACTACTTTTCTTGAGAGGACTTTTGACTTGGTGCATATTTTTGGTGATCCCGTGCTGCGCAGATACTATATGCTTACAAGCATTCATGCCTTCTCTGAGATTCAAACCTGGGCTGATCAGTAGAACAGTCAACATCACTAATCGCTATATCATCTGGGTGGCAGAAAAGCCTTCTGTATGCAGTTTGCCATAATATAAGAGTTCCAGTGGCAGTTGCAGGCTCTGAACATAACTGCCAAGCAGTAGATTTCTTGTTACAATGAACAGCTATTGCCAAATATCTATCTTGAAAAGCATTGGTTATTTGTTTATGATCTTATTCAGGCCCCTATGCAACAGTTTCATAGCATATAGACTCTCTCATGAAATATTCACATATCTCAGGGGTGTTTGTTAGCTGGATATAGCCAGAATTCCAGATTTTTTACATTCTCAAATTTAGTTTTAGAACAAATGTATCATTCAGGCATTGTAAACATTTAAATTTTTGGTTAATCTTTGGATTATGGTAACTTGGCGATTTTTTTGGCTAAAATTTGGCGACCAACCCTGCTACAGCAACCTGCTAGTTTTTGTTTGGACGCCATTTTGTTTTCACAAAGTGAAGGCACGATTTTTTTTTTTTTAACTCAACATTTTTTTCCAACAATCTGCTAGCCGAATTACGCTTATGCTAGAACTTTTATGGAACAAAAGTGCTTAATCATGACGAAAATTAGGTGCGAAATTGGGAGAAAGTGCAGAATAGCAAACTGCTTGCCGCGTTTTTCAGAATTTCACATACATGGTATCCATGTACACGTCGAACTATTTTCACTTAAAAAAAAATCCCAGAATTGCACAAAAATGGCATTGCGCACACTCTTGACTTTATCCATGTACACTGCTAAAGTCCTAGCTAGTAACCTTTATTGCCTTACCAGAATGTCGCCTGTTGCCATATTCCAAAGATTAGCCGGTATTTGTCTTGCCTTCGTGGTGTAGTGGTCAGCACACTGAGTCAGTATTTCAGAGGTCAGTGGCTCGATTCCCGTTGAAGGCAATTGCTAATTTTTCATCTCTCCAGCTTCCAAAAATCCTAATGTCTCTACAATGTACTTGATTGTCATGTTTATAAACAAAATATCCAGTATTAGCAAAACTAATAGAATCTTTTTAAATTCACTTTCTTGAACCCTTTCCTGAATGTTCATTTATTTATATGGGTGTTATCATGACAGAATGTAGAATATTCTTTTACTGATAGCCTAGATGCTAAGTGAACTGTGAAATATTACTTATTCTCATAACACAAAAATCCATATGCAGCTTCTGGGATAGAAAATCCGTCTGAACACCCACTTAAAGATGTTGGAAATAATTTATTAAATAACTGTACAGCATAAAAAATTTTTTACATTTGATAAATTATTCTGTTGTTTCTAACAGTTTTGTAGCTCAAAAAGCTATAAATATACATACTTCAAGTTCTAATCTAAAGTTGTTGGCAATGGAAAATATGAACACAGTTCTGTGAAGATAATTGCTTCCTAAAAGGCAAACTAAAGTTAAGGATTATTTTTTAAAATGTTAGAGCCCACAATGGTAGTGACTGTCTGAAATGATGTAGTGAAATGTAAATTAATTTTGAATAAATGAAAAAAAAAGTATACATATACTTTTTGTTTATGGAACTTTGAAAATATGTGTATATGCATGTATGTGTTTCATACTAATATTTTATAGATACCAACTCTCCAATTATTCAGCACATCTCCTGGTCATGAAATCTCTTGGGGATTAGGGTCGTTTCCAGATTATAGATCATCAATTTAAATCTCATAAGATGGCATGCAGAAATTATAAAATTAAAAATGTGAAACCGTAATTTATGAAATGAAGAGCAATTATGATCTAAAGGGTAAAAAAATTTACACACAAAAAAAAAAAGCTTAATATTTATTTGTTTACTTTATTAAGTATTTCTTTCAGTGTAAGTTGTTTAAGTTGCTTCGTTTATTTTGTGCTAATACTTTCTCTTTAATTCTATAAACAGACATAATTTCTTCTTTCTTGCTTATGTCATCTACAGTTGACTTTCCAATGTCATACTCCTCGCATAATTTTGAGACAGATATGCCTTTATCCATTTTTTTGCAGCAATTCCACTTTTTGTTTGATGGAAATTGAAACATGCTTTCGCTTTATAGATCCTTTGGCAGCTCCAGAATTGGAAACTCTTTTTGACATAATTGAAAGTTCAAGCTTACTTTTTATAAAATTGCTCTAACAGTCTGCAAAAAATAATAAGCCGGATCCAATTAGAAGATTAAGAAACAGTGCAATCTGCAACATTAACTGAAATAGATAATTAGATAATTTTAGCCATCCGTTGTACATTAAATGCGCATGCGTAAACGTATTATGTGTTTACACATGCGCATAAAGTTTGTAGCTTTGAGGTCCGAATTAAAGACTTTGTAGTGTAGTTTTAATCTGCTAAGTATTTTCTAGAAATCCGTCATTACCAAATTGTGGATCCTATATAACTAATATATACAGATCCAAATATGACTAACATCATAAACAAAATCTGATGTGGATGCCATATGATTTCCCTGTACTGAATATTAAATTATGCACCTTTTTTTATGCATTTCACTTAAACTTATTTCCTCAAATTTCATTAGATATATTTCTCATTCAATAAATTCGATTCTCACTTTGCAGAAAGACAAAAATACATAAAACATCAAATACAGTTAAAACAATTAAAGAAAAAATTTATAATTAAAATTAACAGTTTCTATGCAAAAACAAACAATTTGGCTATCAGGCAAGAAGGTAAATTTTTTCGGTGCAGAAACTTACTTAATTCACTATTCTGCTAAGTTTCAAATGTAAACAAATATGGCCACCATCGCCTGCATGCATATTAACTAAAGGTAGAAAACCTTAACTGGAAGATAAGAACAATCCTGTTCAAAGCAAAAAATGCACAATTTCCCAACATATAAGAATAAAAAAGCTGAGCTCACTGAGTCGATTAACAGAGTGCATGTATATATACGTAGCGTATTTGGAAACTAAGTACCGTTTCATTCTAGCACCGTCGCAGCGCTGTGGTAGGCGTCCCGCACATGCGCACCAGTCTTTCTTGTTCATTGACTTTCAATTGTCGCCATTTTGGTTGCTCTATGTTGTGTTTTCAGTTTGTTGTGCACATTCAAAATGTTTAAGACAATTAGTTCTCCCGCTGACTGTGAGATTCGTGCCGTGATTAAATTTTTGAACACGAGGAATGTTAAACCGGTCGAAATTTATCGTCAAGTGACAGAAGTTTACGGTGAATACGCGATAAGTGATGGAATGGTGAGAAAGTGGGTAAGAATGTTTAATGCAGGTCGAACAAATGTCCACGCCGAGGCTCGGAGTGGTCGGCCTTCTGTTGTCACCGATGATTTGGTAAGGAAAGTTGATGAAGCAATTCATGAGAACAGACGCTTCACAATGACAACTCTTTCAGAGGCATTCCCACAAATTTCACGTACTGTTTTGTTCGAAATTGTGTCTGACCGCTTGAATTATCGCAAACTGTGTTCCTGATGGGTTCCAAAAATTCTCACTGATGTTCACAAAACAAAGCGACTTGGTAGTGCCCTGACATTTCTCACGCGATACAGTGATGAGGGAGAAAACTTTTTAAACCAAATTGTGACAGGTGATGAAACTTTGGGTGTGTCCTTTAACACCAGAATCGAAACTACAATCGATGGAGTGGAGACACACTCATTCTCCGAAAAAAAAATAAAGTTCAAAGTGACAATGTCATCACAAAAAATCATGTGCACTGTCTTCTGGGATAGGAAAGGCGTTTTGCTTACTGAATTTCTTCCCAGAGGTGAAACCATTAATGCGTCACAATATTGTGAGACTTTTAACAAAACTAAGGCATGCCATTCAAAACAAATGAAGAGGAATGCTCAGTAAAGGAATTGTGTTGCTCCATGACAATGCTCGGCCCCATACTGCTTGTGTCACTCAATTGTTAATTCAACAGTTTCATTGGGAGCAGTTTGATCACCCACCGTACAGCCCGGACTTGGCATCGTCCGACTATGACTTGTTCCTGCACATGAAGCGCGAGCTTGGTGGCAAGCGCTTTGGATCTGACGATGACACGAAAAATGCTGTGGAGTCGTGGTTATCGAAACTGGTGGGAAGTTTCTTTGACGATGGTATACAAAAACTGGTCACCCGCTATGACAAGTGTTTGATCATTGGCGAAAACTATGTTGAAAAATAGTTTAAGACATGTATTTTCATGTAAAAATAAAATTGGATTCGAAAAAAAATTGTTTTACTATTTTTTTTTTTTTTTCAAAACGGTACTTAATTTCCGAATACGCCTCATATATATAATTATATACTTTTGGTACGGCCGATTGCATCCAAAAAGGGAAATGCGCAACTACATATAGCAGTCCCATATACAAAATTTCAACGTTCTGAGGCTACCCATTTTTTGAATTACATGAGATAATACGTTCGTACAGATGCCACGAAGAAATCTGAATCCGTATTAAATCAGTTTTATAATTCGTTTAGGGAAAAAGAATCTTCATTCTATCCTCGCTTACAGATGTCACGCAAAAACATGGTTAAATTTCATTTGATAGCAGTTAAAATGGATATTTTTGTTCAAATATGATACATAAAATTTTTCGTGATTACAATACTTTACTTCGTAAAAGGAATTAAAAACTTTATTTTAAAATATTCCATCTTGAAGCAGAAATCATGTTACAGTATGCATTCTTTAGCAGTTGGTAATATTGTTTTTTAAATTACTTTTTTTATGTATAGTATATTTAAATTAAAATTTTGAATTGTGTACCATTTGTACATACTATTCAAAACCTCAACTGGGAAAATTGTGACAAATTGATGATTTTTTTTTTATACCTTTAAATGATCAGACTTGTGACCTTTAGTTATACTCATTTGAAAAAATTCACAGTTTTCCCTTCATTCTTGTATTAACGTTATAAAATACATCAGATAAGCTTTGTTTCTTGATGATTTTGTTCTGTTAAATTCTGTTTGGAATTTCAGTATAGATCATTTATTAATTACTAGTGAATGATCGCTCTTTGTTTCACGATAATTTATATAAAAGAAACTTGTAATTTTAGATGCCAAAAATCAAGTGAACCTTTTTAATAAACTGTATATGTATAGTGCTGGACTGGAGAAAATAATACACATAAATTTTTGAGTAAAATGTATTCTATATGATCAAAATGTTAAAAAACAATGTTGCTTAATAGTAATAATAGTTGGTCATTAAATTTGTCAAATGATTATTTACGACAATTTTCCATTTCAAATAAATACGAATGAAAAATATAACAAAGACCTGCCATATAAAGGAGAGCAGCATAGCTATGAATGATAACCTATGTGTATATATCATTTTCTTCCTCTCTTGATGCCTTTCATGAGTCACAGAGCATGTCTGTGACATTTTTATAACCTTAATTCCTATGACATGGAAACTGTTCTCATGTTGGGTTAGCTAAGACTTTCTGGAACCTGAATGGATGCATGAAAGATTGAAGACTGCAGCAAGAGTTCCAGCATTGTCAACTAGCTCAAGTACTCAAGCCAAGAACTAATTTTCAACATCAAAACCTGTGTTAAGCAGGACTGGTGTTATGTTTTTTTTGCTTCCAGTGCAATCTCTGCCACTTGGTGCTTCCCTGAATTCTAAAATTTTGCCATTGCCTAATACTGCCACCTGATGTTGTGTTACAATCATCTGTGATAGCAATTGGGAATCCCTAGAGTCGTCTTTTCTCAAGCAATATAATAGTGTGAAAGAGAGGGAAAATAAATATGTTGTAAAACATAGAATTATCAGAGAACTTATATTATTGTATAGAATCTATTATATAGAACTATTATATGGAATTATAATATAGAAATTATTATATATAATCTATATTTTATAAATAATTTGCAAAATATTGCTTTTGAAGCTTAATTCTGTATTGCTGTGCATTTTATTATACATAATTAAAAAGGCTGTTTTTTAAGGCATCATAAAATTTAAAGCTTAAAATTTCATATTAAGTTGTTCATTTTTAATTATCTTTTTAAGTTGGATTAAAGTTTTCTATTGTTTCTATCTTTTTTTAGAAACCACTTCCTCTAGGAAGTCCCTCATTGGAAGCTATCATTCATGAAAGGTAATTTTTTTAATATAGTATTTTAATTGTCAAAAGTAATTTGAAAAATCATACAGAAATTTACTATTAAAATTTGTTTGAGGGGGGGAAAAACTTTTGTCCAGTTTGAGAATAAATTGTGAAGTTCAGTATAAGAATTAACACAGCATAAGCAAAAATTTTTGCTGACTGCAGTTTTTAAGATATTAGCATTGTTAAATTGGTGAAAGCAATAAAAGATAATGCTTACTTGTTAAATGACTCGAGCTGTACACCAGTGCTCTGCAACCGGTGTGCCATGAGTAGAATATAGGTGTGCTGCAATCAAATACATGTATTTGACATTTTTCAATTTTTTATCATGTACACAATGACAATTTTTTTATTCCATTAATATGGAACAATACGATTGGATTCGAAATCCTTTTGCAAACAATGTAATAAATTCTACGGAAGCGCTGCCTCTAAAAGTTCGAGAGGAATTTACAGATTTGAAAAGTGACACGAACTTTAAAATTATACTTCTCCGAAGTTCCATTAGATGTTTTCTGGATTTACGTTAAAAAAGAATATCCTCATATTTCCGAAAAAGCAGTTTTAACATTACTTCCATTTTCTACGACATATTTATGTGAGCAAAGTTTTTCAACTCTATTATTAATTAAAAATGATAAGCGGTCATGCTTAAAAGATCTTGACCAAGAACTTGTGTTGCGTTGTCAGATATTGAGCCGAATATAAAACTTTTGTGTTCATTGAAGCAAGCGCAGGTATAACATTGATAATTATTATGATTGCATATAAATAAATATGTTATGGTTTTATAATTGTATATTTTTCAAATTAAAAACAAAAAATTATTGTAAATTTTGTGTATAAATCAATACATATATACATTAGCTTTTGGTGTGCTACGAAATTCCAGAAAGATTTTTTGTGCGTCGCAGGTGAGAAAAGGTTGCGGAGCACTGCTGTACACTACAGATTGCCCATTTTCAAATATTGCTGCTATGCTGTCCCAGAAAAAAATTCAAGATAAATTAATATTTAAAGTTTAATTTGAGGAATGCATTGCATAAAGATGACTAAATATATTTCTACAAATTAAAGTATATAAAAAAATTCAATTGAAATTTTTTAGATATAAATCTTAAATGTGATCATAAGCAACAATGCCTGTTCCATTCAAATTTTATGTTATTTAACCTCTTTGTTTTGAAACCTAATTTATTTTGGTACTTTTCCATTTTGCCGGCACAGGCGATAAAGCTGCCAATAATGGTGAAACTGATGCCTAATGGAATATGCTCACTGGTAACCCATTACTCCAGTTTCTTTCAATACTGGCATACAGTTACATAGAATATTTACCAGATAGTTCAATTTTATACCCTGAGGCCCTTTGCGGTAATTAAGTCAATTAGGATGCAATCACACTGCTCACCCAAAGGCGAAAATATAAAAAAAAACAAAGTCAAGGGTTAAATTCATCAATTCTTATGAGAATGCACTAGCGAAGTAAAGCAGTACAGTTTTAAATAATTTCTGAGTAAGCTATTCGTACGAATTGAAATAATTCTTGAATTTAAACTTGTATTCCAAATTAAGATTTAATTTGAAATTAATGTACATAACTACTGAGAGAATTAGATTTTTGTAGCATAGTTTATGTGAGATGAGACCACTTGGGGTCACGAGATATAAACCGCCAAATCAGAATGTTGAACCATGAAAGCATAGTAAATTCTTAATGTCTTTTTACAAATTTATTAGCTTTTTACAGAATTTTAAATGATATTAAAATGTTTATGCCTTCAAAATAAAAAAAAAAATTCTTAGAACTTATGTTTGTTATGTGTATACTGTATGTTGTCATCAATAAAGTCTGCTTGGCGAGATCTGTGCTGGCAAAACGGAAAAGCACCTTTTTTTTTTTTAAGTAATGGAGCATAATTATTTTAAATATGAACTATTAGTCTGATATATTCATGATAAAAATTAATTACAGAAGTTTTTTTCTTTATCAAATCAATAAAAATAATTTGTTTTTCCTTTCATATCAAGTCCGTTAGCTTGAGATTATTTTACCCACAATTAGTTTGTAAATCTGCATAAACAGGGCAGTACATATTCAGAGTAGTCTAACTTATCTTGACTAGTTTATCTATAAAATAATCTCAAGGTAATGGACTCGACATGAAGTGGAAGACAAATTATTTTTATTGATTTGCTAAATTTATATCTGAAGAATTTCAGTTGATTTTTAAATTGTAAAAATATATTTATACAGTACAAAGTCTTTAATCTGGACTCGTTGGGACTTAGGCGATTCTGGATTATAGATCATCAATTTAAATCTGGTAAGATGGAATGCAGAAATTATAAAATTAAAAATATGAAACCATAATTTATGAAATAAAGAGCAATTATGATCTAAAGGGTATCAAAATTTATAAAAAAAAACTTAATATTTATTTCTTTACTTTATTAAACATTTCTTTCAATGTAAGTTAAGTTGCTTTGTTCTTTGTGCTAATACTTTCTCTTTAATTCTATAAACAGGCATAATTTCTTGTTCAGTTCCACTGTTCAAGTCCTGTAATTGCTGTGTCGAGAATACCAACTAACTTGTCAATCGAAATTTTTTCATCTTCAATACCTCTCTGTCACTTTCTCCACAATCAGAAGTGGTACATCGAAACATGCTTTCACTTTGTAGATCCTTTGGCAGCTCCAGAGTCGGAAACTCTTTTTGATATAATCAAAAGTTCAAGCTTACATTTATAAAATTGCTCTAACAGTCTACAAAAAATAATAAGCCGGATCCAAAGTATAGTACAAAGTCTGAGATCTGGAATTCGGTGATTCTGGATTTGAGATTTCCCCAAATATTAGATCATCAATGTAAATCTAGTAAGATAGCATGCAGAAATTATACAATTAAAAACATGAGATCGTAATTTATGAAATAAAGAGCATTTATGATCTAAAGGGTATCAAAATTTATGAAAAAAGCTTTATATTTATTTGTTTACTTTATTAAACATTTCTTTCAGTCATTTCTTAAGCTATTTAAGTTGCTTCATTTTTTTTTATAATAATACTTTCTCTTTAATTATATAAACAAACATAATATCTTTTTCAGTTATAAAGTTCCACTGTTCAAGTCCTGTGATTGCTGTGTCGAGAATTCCAACTAACTTGTGAACCATAATTTTTTGTTTTCCATAACCTCTCCATCACTTTCTTCACTATCGGTAGTGGTATTTTCCAGATGTAGAACCATACTTCAGATTTTGCCGTCCATTAACTGTTGATTATTGGGGCGTTGTCATCGCAATGAAAAACTTCTGTTATATCATCTTCATTTATTACCGCTTCTCTACATTTCTTTACTAAATCCATTAACTGGAAAATTTCACCTTTAGTTTGTGATATACCAAAAACCTTCAAAATTCGCAGCTATCATTTGTTCAAGAAATTTTACATGGATTTAAAAAATGCTACTTTATATTTGCATTTCAGCGCACGCACTATTCTGAAATCGGTAGGCTGAATGGCGGATGTACAATTTGGAGCAAAGAATAATAGGAATACATTATCTTCCACTATGAGCCAAACAGTTGTCAATAATCGGGACTAATTTTGAGTTATCAGGTAAACCAGTCAAATTCAAATGTTGCCGAGCCTCCGGTATAAAATAATTTTCAAACCAATCATTCATTAATGTTTGTGTCATCCTTGCTGTTTTATTTGCACAATATATAATGGGAAAAATCGTTACTCCTTTAAATGCTCGAGGTCATTGTATGTTTTCTGATTATGAAAGGTTTGCACTTGTGCGTTCCTGCAGCATTTGTGCACGCTAAAATTGTTAGGCTCGCTTAGGAATCTTTGACGCTAGAAAAGACCAGTTTCATGAGTGTTTAAATTTGTTCTGGAGATAAAAAACTAATGAGTTCAATGAATTCATCTGAAAATAGTTCAGCAGCTTCAGTATCAGCTGAAGCTTTTTTACTTGAAATTTTTAATTGCTTTATCATGGAGATTTTTAAATTTCATTAACCAACCTGTCGATTATGTGCACTCAGTTTTTAAGTTCATTTCTTCATGAAGTATTTTGGCTTGAGCTATTAGCATTGCACCCATCAATGGCATGCCTTCCCTGCGATGCTGTCTGACCCGTTCAGTCATCACTTTGTCATGATCATCACTTTTAGCCATAACGAACAATTTTATGCTTTCGCTTTGCAGATCCTTTAACAGTTCCAGAATTAGAAACTTTTCGAAATAATCGAAAGTTCAAGGTTCAATTATTATAAAAGTGTTGTAATAATAACAGTCTGCAAAAAATAATAAGCTGTATCAAAGTAGAAGATTAAGGAGCAGCACAGTCTGCTACATTAACTAATATTCCTTAGAATCAGTAAAGATAGTTTTAGCATCCGCTGTACATTACTGGCTATATATCATAAGATTGGCGACGAAAGACAAGTTGCTCTGCTAAATTTTGTGTTGCTTCTATCGCGTACTGAATTAAGCGTGAATTGTATTAGTTATTTATAATACCTACGTCTATTTCTTGCACATGCTTAAGGCTAATCTGAGTTTTGAATAAACTCCCACATATACTGAAAGCTTAGCTAGGGCTGGCACTAAATACTGCCTGAATGCAGTCTCTGTGAGACCTAAATTCTACTACAAAGTGCCTTCCTAAGTTCTAAATTTTAGCCGCCCCTAAATTTTGGAGCTCAGTGCTTTCCCTAAATTATAAAAAGTGTGTCATCCCTTAATTTTGCCACTCGGTGCTTCCCCAAATTCCTAAACTTTTGTCTTCCTTAGATTCTGCCGTCCGATGCACCCATATGAGCTAAGATAACGGTTCTAGATTTATGTGTTCTGGGTTATCAGTTATTTTTAATTCAAATAGCACTAAATGTAATCTTTTGGCCTATGAGTTTCATTAACAAAATCTATTTTTAGCATATGAAAAAAATTTTTGTTAAATTTTTCCTTTTCATCATTTCTTAGTGCCTTTAACTTAAGTCTGTAATTATTGTCAAGCATGATGAAGTCAACACAAAAGGTTACCACACTGTTTATTTATTAAATTATTAATATAAAAAATTGTCTGGATATCGCTGCACGAGTCATTACTCGAGTTGTCATATGTTGATAAACATGAGGCAATAAAAGGAAAATATAATAAATAATGACTCGCCAAGTTGCCATGAGGTATATAAGATATTAGTAGGTGTAAAATCAATGATGTTTCTATTTAGAATGTTTCAGTTTGAGATGTATGCTAAGCATATGCAGCTATGGATCCAAATTATTGATCATACAAATTTATGCTATTGTTTCTTTAAAAAGGAGGTATTTATTCAGTGCCAAAGGGAAATTAAGAATCGGAACGCCGCATGTTTTATGTATGGGGGGATCAAATGCGCATGCATAAAGCCTATTTTTTTTTAAAAAAGCTGTTGCCACTTTTGAGGTCTGGATTTTAGATCACTTCGGATCTTGGACTTTGTACTGTGCTTATTTCATAATAAGGCATAACTGAAACCAGCACTTCAGTACATCATATATAAAATTGAACTTTTTTTTGGTTCTGACATTTTTTATAGCAATTATTTTATCTTCAGTAATATCAGGGTTCGTAGCGGTCCTTATAAGTTCTTATATTTGAAAATAAAATATAAAGGCCCTTATAGGTACTTACTTTTTCTTTAAAGCCCTTATTTTTTTGTTTTTAGTGCTTATTTTTTGCTTTTAGTGCTTTTTTTTAAATGAACGCGCTATTTTCCACGTACCAAAGCCGAAACTAAATAAACAACTTTTCTTCCTAATATGGAATGTTAGATGGTGAATCATACTCCCGGAAATAGCTTTTCCCCTTTCGCTGCATTAACATAACCTTTGGTGTGCACGAAGAGTACAGACAGGTGCCCGGCGTTCTATCGGTCAGTGAAATGCAAAAGCAGTAGAAAATTCCGGTACATTCGGCATTCTTTTCCTCCCACCCAAATACTACACACGTTTGAATTCCTATCAAGATCTTAATAATTTGCATTCTCGTTCCGCTTGGTCAGTTCATATTCATGTTTATTATGATCGTTATGCTTATATTATGAGCATATGTATGAATGTTTATAATAACATAGTTGCAGTAACTGCTGAAGTGTAGTAAACTTCTAAAAATGGTTGTGTTTTAACACAGATTAGCTTCTAAGGAATAATGTTCGGAATGGCTTAAATAAAGGGAAAGTAATTGAATAGTCAAAATAATTTTGTTTTTTTGGCCAAAACTTTATACAGTACGAAGATTGGGAGGTTCTCCCCGTTCTCTGCAAAATCTCGAATATTGAAACTGTTATAGTTCGCTGCAAAACAAGCAACGGACCTTTTTTTTTTTTTTTTTTTTTTTTTTGTCACTTTCCAATCTGGATTGAATAGGACTAAAAGTTCTGTGGTCTACCAACCCAAGCGAAGAATGATTTTATTCCGGAAATTTAACGCTGTCTGTTGAAAATTAGAATGAAAAACACCCCAGTTATTTAGTTCTTTATTCTCCCAATACCGTCAGCTGTTGATTCCGATTGCATAATATCACGTAGGGAAGAATTACAGCGCACGTATTGCGCAATAACGTTTGCAGTATTTTGCAGAGATAATTAATTTTGATGTTCTGTCCGAGATTTGTTTATGAACACTTAAAAGAGTTTTACTGTGCTTGCTAAGCAGAATATTTTTCAGTTCCATTGGTTATGTTTTTATATGATGCACATATCGAAATGTCAAAGGGCATTTATTTAGCGGAAAAATTCTAAAAAAGTGGCTACAGTGTATCCCCCCGTCTGCTCCTCTTTTTTCAAGTTACGCTCGACTGTCTGAATATTCGCCAATTTTCAAGTATGTGGGTACTTAAGCCAAAGAATATGTATTGACAGTACATAGAATATGTACATAGACTTTCTTTGGTTAAGCTTTTACTGTTAAAGGAATGACTGCATGAAGCAAATTTCTGTCTTCTGATTTTTCAGAAATGTTTCCTCTTTTTTACATTTAAATTACTTTGCTTGCAATATCTGTTAAGGGAAAACTGATATAGTACAATGAAAATTTAGAAAATGTTCAGAATTTAGATTTAAATTATTTAAATATCAATATGTGTGGAAGCATAAATTGTATTTATTATTAGGTTCCAAGCGAATGCAATAAATATGCCTTATTATTTATTTTCTCTATTTTGAACTGAAATTTCATCATTAAATCTTGTAATATAGTTTAGTTCTGGAAAGTTTTTTTCCCCTCTCATTGTAAACTAGTTCTGTAAATTGAACTGTTATTTAAATTTAAAAAAAAAAAAAAAAAAAAAGTATTTTCCATGGTTGAGGTAATGCTTATTCTCTCTTAATAAATACTGCTTTTCTCATATTTTAAATTACAAGTGTAATTTTTAAGGTTATGCAGTTGTGTATAATGTAATTAGAAAGGTGCTTATTTTTTTAACTAAAATGTGGCTATGAACCCTGAATATGTTTCATGATTATCTTAGTTATTTTAAATTATTAATTTTTTTAATTATTTATTTGAAGAACATTCAAAATATTTTTAAATATAAATTTAAAAACACAGAAGTAGAACATTTTAGAGATTTTTTTGTGTTTCGACTACAAATTTTTACTAATTACATGAAATGAATAGAAAGAATTTCTCCAGAAACCAAATGTAATATAAAGTTTAGCTTTTAAGTGCAGATGATCTAATTTTGAATGCTGAACCAGTAAGAATAAAAAGAAAACCGAATTCTTCATGCAGAGACAAATGATTGAAGTCTGCAAGGGTTCCTGTCAGCTTAAAAAATGAACAGGAAGAGCAATTCTCATTCCTGCCTTTTCAAAGTAGAAATATCATAGGGTTAAGAAGCATTTATTTTGTTAACTAAACTAAATTATGAATTATATATATGTATATGCTTAAAATTATGAAAGTTTTTAAATGGAAACCAAACTTCATTGCAGATTATCTGAAAACTTGCCTACTTCAAAAGAAAAGAAATTGACTGGTAAGTTTTAATACAAATTTGTCTTTACTTAGTTTATGAGCATTCCTTGTTCTGTGTAAAAGTAATATAATGATTATATAAAAATAATTATATCATTATTAAAAGTAATATAATGATGTTATCAAACTCAATTACCATCAACCTATTTGTACATTATATAGTAAAAACCTAGCTATCTGGCATTCAACTCACGTACTGCAAGTAGCATTGATAAGATGTGAATGGTGTTGCAGAAAATTTAAATTAGATGACATCATTCTTAACAAAGGGGTATGGAATTCTTTGCGAAATAAATGTCTGGAACTAATGAGCTGGGGACTGAGTCAGCTAAAAAGTACAAATAATAACCACAATAAAGACGGTGAAAAGATGTTAAGGCACATAGTTTTGATACTATTTCCAAAAAACGTTACTAATTATAAAGCTACGTAAATACAACACTATGAAAATAAGCATGCTGTACATCTCAAAGATACACAAGAAATTTCATCCAAGTTGCTAATTAAATCATAAGTATGAAAAATACAGTAAACAATGATTACAACATAACTAGAGAAAGTGAGATCAATTTCTTCTCTTAATAAAAGAATTACTGTTCAAGATTTCGCTAGAAATACTGAATTCGAAAAATTATTTGTCTATGGATTTTCGTACATTTCTAATTTCATTCTTTCAGTGAAAGTTGTAGAAATATTGGTAATAGAAAATTATGAAAGTTAACCTCTTTAACTACTTTAAAAGAAATTGTTACAAGTGTGAAGTATGCTTTCAGTGTTATGTTTGAGCTCTTTTTTAGGTAGAAGTTTCTGTTCAGAATGAATACTTCGAATTTCTTGACGCTTTATTGAGGATTGGTCTTTTCTAAGAGATTTGAAGATATCTTCCAAATTATCTTATATTTTGCAATTTCTACTGTGTTGATTATCATTCCTTATCTCACTAACAGAGAATTCTGAAATAATTTCGGCTACATTCAGGCTCAGACCATGAGGCTCATGCTTCAAGATTTTCAGCTTGTGACACATTCATCTGGTCGCCGTACCTTTTCTTCAAGTTAGCAGATATTTGACTTTTTTTTTTTTTTTTTGTGAAAGTAAAAAATTTAATCTAGTAATTAAATATGTCGACTTTCATCTTTCATTCCAAAAATGCGTACCCCCCAAAAAATATTATGATATTAAGCTTTTGATATTCAAGTTGGTAAAAAAAAAGGGCATTTGTTTTTATAGTTTTAGAGCAGAAATTTTTACCATTCATTTGGCTTTTTAATGTGAATTTTATTTTTTATAAGCTAAATTATTTGGAATTTGGCGAGCTTTCCAAATAGTCAAGCTTTTACTGACTGTGGGAAATTCAAGCTTTCATGCTGGATGATGAGAACTTATGCTGTTTGCTTTCTCCATGTGTAGAATACAGTACTAACAGCTTCATAAGCTTTCCATGTAAAATATCCTGTTATAATTTACCTTTAAATTTCATATCTAAATTATGATTATTGTTAACAATTGACTATGATGCTCTTGAAATATACTTGCAGATGAAGAAGCAAGTTGACAGTTGAGTCCGTAGTCATGTGTATCATTTACAGTGTGCAAAAAAAAGGGAGACAGTTCTATATCTCCCATGCTACTGGGTCGATTGATAAAATTCAAACAGCATTTTTCATGTCGCGAAAGCTCGACCTAGGATATGTCTAGGACCTACGATTTATATGTAGCATTGTTCGAATATAGGTATTTTGACACAAAATTGGAATCTTTCTGAAATGACATGCCAATTTTTTCCTGTATTTCTAATCTACGACTCGAAATATGTGAAACTGCAGAGTTTCGCAAAAATGACACAAATTGTTTTTATAAAATTAGTGCTCAAAATTTTAGCTCCTCAATGTTAATTGAATTTGATATATATTTATTAATATTTATTTTTTGATAGAACTTATTTGATTCTTCCTTTCGTATTTCGAAATTTAGGTTCATTCCAAATAAAATGTTCCCATTTTTTATGATTTATTCTTAAAATGTTTATTTTTAATTTTTTTTTAATTTTAAATTATGGCCTATAAAATTTTTACCATCATCTTAAAGTACAGTCAAAAGTCTTTAATCCGGACGTCCATAATCCGGACCTCAAAGCTACAAACTTTTTGCACATGCGTAAACGCATAATGCGTTTGCGTATGCACGTAACACCTTTACGTACGTGCATAATACGTTTACATGCGTGTTTTATGGATAACGGATGGTATAAGCTAAGCTAAAATTATCTATTTCAGTTAATGTTGCAGATTGCATTGTTCCTTAATCTTCGAATTCCAATACGAAGATTTTCGCAGGCTGTTAGAGCAATTTTATTAAAGTAAGCTTGAACTTTCGATTATGTCAAAAAGAATTTCTGATTCTGGAGCTGCCAAAGGATCTACAAAGCGAAAGCATGTTTCGATGTCCATCAAACAAAAAGTGGAATTACTGCAAAAAATGGATAAAGGCATATGCTTTGTTTCTCTAGCCATTCTGAAATCTGTTTATCAATTTCACGCTGCTCTGCAGGGGGTACATCGCAGCGCACAGTAAACTGGAAGTTGATCTGTCAACACTATTCTTATCTTCAGGGCAGATGTTTTTATTTTATTCGGCTTATAATTCCTTACTAAATGTAGTATTTCATCTCGATGTACTCCGTCTTTGATATAATTTAAATCAAATTCCTCGTCATTATAAATATCACGAATACACATGAAATAGTTTTCTGGTTGCAGTTTTCTAATTTCGACTATGCGTAATGTGTGCTTTACGCATGCGTGCGTTGAAATAAATGTTTAATAAAGTAAATAAATAAATATTAAGTTTTTGTAAATTTTGATATCCTTTAGATCATAATTGCTCCTTATTTCATAAATTACGGTTTCATATTTTTAATTTTATAATTTCTGCATACCATGTTACCAGATTTAAATTGATGATCTATAATCCGGGAAAACCGATAACATATTAGATTAGTTACAGGTTATCTTACTAGAAATTTTGTAGCTCTGATATCACATTTTGCAAAACACAAATCACCGTCTATTAAAACTGAGCTGCTTAATAAATTCAAGTATCTTTGAAATGAATGTGATTTTCTAATCAACAGGTAGTGTGTATTTATTCAGATGGTTCTTAATGTACTGTGTTTTTCATTTAAGCCTTCTCAGAAATGTATACATAGAATATTACTGTTCTTTTAATTTTCAGAAAGTAAAATTAATTAAAAGGGAGGAATGAGTACTTTGGGATAAGGAAAATTAAAAATTCATTACTCAATATAATAATATTTCATTTTTTCAGAAGTCTGTATTAAATGTGCCTTTTTAAATATACTAACTATATTTATACAGATTAATACTTTTTATTTTTCTATTAATTCTGACTTGATTCTTTCAGAATCCAAAACTGATGTCAAGAACAAAAGTAGTAGTTCCAGTTCTGATGATGACGACAGTAATCTAAGTCAAGCGAAGCAAATGCCGAAAATAACTGCACCTGTTGCCCAACTGAAGAAAGCAGCTGAAGAAACAGAGGACAGTTCTGAGGACTCATCTGATTCTGACGAACCAGCGAAACCTAAAACTGCATTATCTCTCTCTAAAGGAGCTTCCAAGGTGCCGACAAAGGCTCCTGTAAAACCACAAGAGGCTAAGAGTGAATCAACTTCCTCAGATAGTTCTGATTCTGATGACAATACTTCTGGAAAGCCATCAAAAGTTAATTTACCTTCGCCAAAAACCAACATGCCTGTTCCTCAGTCTCAAAAAGCAAAAAAATCATCTGATTCATCTGATTCTGAGGATGAAAAAAATAATGCAAAATCAGCCTCAAAAAATAACTCTCTTGCTACTCCTGCCAATAAAAATCTTAATTTGAAATCTAAAATTGAAGCCCAGAAAAAAAGGAAGACTGTTGAATCCAGCTCTGATTCAAGCTCTGACGAAAATAGTAAAAGTAAGGATACATCTGTTGCCAATAAAAATCTTAATTTGAAATCTAAAATTGAAGCCCAGAAAAAAATGAAGACTGCTGAATCCAGTTCTGATTCAAGCTCTGACGAAAATAGTAAAAGTATAGATACATCTGCCAAAAAAAATCTTAATTTGAAATCTAAAATTGAAGCCCAGAAAAAAATGAAGACTGCTGAATCCAGTTCTGATTCAAGCTCTGACGAAAATGGTAAAAGTAAAGATACATCATCTCTTCAAGCCCAGGAACCTCTATCAAAGCAGACTCAAGAATCATCTGATTCTGAGGATGAGAAAAATAAAGCAAAGGTAGTTGGGAAACAAAAATCTGTTTCTGTTAGTGCTGGTAAAAATACTAATATGAAAACTAAAAGTATATCTGAACATAAAGAAGGAAAATCTGACTCGGATTCAAGTTCTGATTCTGAAGAAGAGAATAAGATGAAAGTCTCTGTAAATAAGCCAGTTCTTCATCAAACTTCACTTCATGCAAAAAAATCACCATTGCATGCAACAAAAACTCCTGATTCGAGCTCCAGTGACTCCAGTTCTGATTCAAGTGAAGAAAAAATTAAATCAAGCAAAAATGTATCTAACAAACCTGTACCTTCTAATAAGCAAGCTAAGGCACCTCTGATTCAAGCAGTTAAGAATGTATCAAAAAAAGATTCATCTGATAGTTCAAGTTCAGATTCAGAAAAAAATGCATCTGAATTAGTTAAAGCAAACCAGCCAAATAATTGGAACAAGGCAATTTCAAAGTTTGCTGAAGAGAATGATTCTAGTTCAGAATCTGAGGATGAAAAAGATGTAATGGTATCATTAGCTAGAAAAACATCTACTCCTTTAAACAGTTCTAAAGTGCAGAGTTTGCAGCCTAAGCAAAAGCCTATACCAGTTAGTGCCACATTAAAGAGTAATGCTGTCAAACCTGCAGATAGTTCAGAGTCAAGTTCAGATTCTGAGGATTCAAGCAGTAAGCCTCAAATGAACAGTGCTAAAAAAAAGAATTCTAGCAAAGCAGATGAAAGTTCAGAAGATTCTTCCTCAGATTCTGATAATAAAAACACATCTAAAAAAATAAACACACCAGTAGCATCAAAATCTCCTTTAAAAGGGAAACAGGTCATTGGAACTACAGTTCCTTCTCAAGGCTCCGGAAGCAAAAATGAGGCAGTTAAGAAAAAGAAAACTCCACATGATGTTTCAGAAAGTTCTGATGATTCTTCTGAATCAGAAGAAGAAAGTAAAAAACCAGCACAATCAAAAAATATTCAACAGACTAAAACTGTTGGTATATTAAATAAAGCACCAGTTAAGAGTACCAGTGGAAACAAATCCTCTGATAGTGATAGCTCAGATTCAGAGGAAGAAAATTCAAATAAAAAAGCCATTTCAGCTATACAGAATAAAAATGCTAGCTTACTCAACAAAACTCCAGCCAAGGCTGTCAGTGGTAAGCAGTCTTCAGATAGTTCAAGCTCAGATTCTGATGATGAGAATGCAACACCTGCAGTTACAACTCCTAAACAAAGTTTTAGTAAATCAGAAACACCAGCTAAGATGGTTAAAGAGAAGGCTTCCAGTAGCACAATTGTGAATGGAAAGCAGATTAAATCTAAAAAGCAGGCAAGTTCAAGTTCTGATGATTCCTCAGATTCTGATGCTGCAGATCTCTCTCAGAGCAAACTTGCTTCTGCCAAAATAAATCAAAATAAAAGCAAGGTTATAGAACAAGGTACTGCAACTAAAAGAAAAAAAGGTGGAAGCAAAGCTGAGAGTTCATCTAGTTCTGAAAGTGAAAATGAACCCAAGAAATCAAAGAATACTTCTACACCTTCTTCTGTTGGTAAGCCTGTCTCTAAATCAGGTAATAAATCACTTGCTTTGAAAATGATAAATGTTAGTGGTAAAGGTAAGAAAGAATCCTCAGATTCTAGCAGTTCTGGGGATGAGTCAAAGAAAATATCACTTAATACATCAGTTTCATTAAAAGAAAAATCTACAAATTTATCTACTGTAATTAATAATTCATTAACTAAGCAAAAAGCATTGAAATCTAAAACATCAAATGAAGCTGATAGCTCATCAGAATCATCTGATGATGAAAGTGTTCAGAAAAGTCAAGTATTAAATAATAAAAGTGGAGTTAGTAATAAAGGGACTAAACAAGATTCAAGTGATAGTTCATCAGGGTCAGAAGATGCTCAAGCAAAACAAATTTCTAATGTATCTTCATCTAAATCCATCAAATCACAAAACTCATCAAAGCAAAAGCGAGAAGACAGTTCCAGTTCAGATTCAGAGAGTGCATCGGAAAATACTTCTCTAAAAAAAAATGGTGAGACATCTTTTAATGCTAAATCACAGTCAAAAAAACAAAAACTAGACATTTCAAATTCTAGTGAAAATAATAATTTGCAATCCGTGAAAAATGCAGATCGAAAACGTAAAAGCGAGAATCAAATAGGGCCAGAAACAACGAAGAAACGCAGGGTATGCATTCTTTTAACTGTTTAATGAAATTATATGCCTGATTTCATGTTGCATGCAAGATTTTTTTAGCATCATCTTTTGTGGGTGGTGGTTTTTTGAATCATTATTTTATTTTTAAAATTTTGACTGTCAGACCTGAATTTTTAGAGGGGATTAATCCTATAAAATTTGTGTAATTTTATGCTGTATTTGATTTGAAAGAAAAATAATTTGAAAAATTTGTTAGTTTCGGAACTTGTAGAAAATTATAGCGATGAAAAGAAATTTAATGGCATCTAGACTAATATCACTATTTTATTTAAAAGCCTTGGTTGACACTTTTATGCACAATTGTTATTGTAATAAATCATTTGAAAAAAATCTTGTTTAGCGTGCTAGGTTGTCTTTTATCAACAATAGGTGAACTTTCTTGGATGATCAGTAATCTTTAAAAAGTTTATACTAATTGCAACATACTGATTTCTGTTCTCCTGAAATTTGTTCAGGCAAAGCAGATTGTTCACCCACAGATATGTTTAAATTAGGAATTCCTTATCTTAAATTGGAATACTATATCAACCTGTAGGACATAGCCTTAGCATGCTGTATTGATCATGTAGATACCTTAACAGATGTATTTTCCATAAATGAATTCTTTTATATCATATAATCCATGATTTGTAATTGGCTAATCATTTCAGGCACACATTTTTTAAAATGCCAAACAATTTATTTATTGTTTGATGGGTTATTAATACTAATTTCTATCATTTTTTATTTTCTGGTCATTAATTTTTCTGTAAGTATCATATTATTTATTCATTTTTATGGCTAGTGTTTTTTTTTTTTTTTTTTTTAACCCATTGCTTATCTTGAAAATGCATGCATGCATATAATTTCTGTGCAAAGTTTAAAAAAAGAGATTTCAACCAGGAATTCCATTATGTGCATATAGAGCAATTGCTTTTCTGCATTTAAACCAAAATGCATACTGTTTGTTGGTTCATAAAAAGTTATGGAAAAAATAATTTTATAGCAATATTTTCATGGAAAGTTCTGTAAAATAATCTAGCATAAAATTTTATTTAAATTTTATATCCAACTGTTTTTATAGTAATTTTGAATTTCAATGAAATACTTGTATTTGTGATCAAGGCAGAATAAAAACATTTCATCAGAGATGCATTTCGTGGCATTGCTCATTAAAATTCTTGGTTTATATAACTTTTTATGCTTTAAAATGTATTAAATTAAAACTTGTATTTTTTTCAATTAAGTAAATAAACTTTGCAATTATTATTATTTTGTTATATTATTATGATGATAACTGTTTATTTCATTTACAGGGATCCTCTCCTTTCAGGCGAATAAAAAGCGAAAATATAGAAATTGATCCAAGACTACAAAGATCAAGCCAGATAGCAAAGGTAAAGTGTTGACAAAAAATAAAAGTTTGAAAAAACAAAACTTGAACTATTGTTACATTGGTTTGGGTGGAATTACTTTATAAATAAAGTATTGATTTGAAAAAAAAGGTGTGAAAAATTGAACTTTATATATTGTCGCAGTTGTTTAGGTTGTTAATTTATTAATTGATGAGAAAAAATAAAAAAAAAAAAACTAAATGTATTAATTTTTTTTTTCAAATTGTATTTTATTAACTCTTGCAACTCTTGGATGATAAAAATGTAAGATACATTTACTGTGAGCAACTGCTTTTCACGAAAAGATCATGTAGAGTTAATATGAATGATTTTATTAGGCGTGTATTCCTTTTCTAATATTAAGCATTCAAAAGCATGTGATTTTATTAAATTTTATATAAATGAAATAAACATTGTTCATAAAGTAGGCTAATTACTGTATTTCCTTGAATTTAAACTATAGTAGGATTTTAAAACTGGAAAAATAATAAACAATAAAAATGATTTTCTAAATAAATATTGAATAATATGTATTATAAAATCATTTTGATATTCAAGCTCTTACTTATTTAACATTCCAAGAGGCGAAGCTATATGTAATGTTCAAAAGTATTTGCTATAATATATAAGTATGCAGTTTGCATTTTGAAATGTCTCCAGGCAATTAAGGTAGTGCATATATTAGAAGAAGAGGCATCAAGATACAAACTGCAAAAACCAGTTTAAAATTTATAATTGAAAAAATGCAGATTATTCAGGGCATTTTCATCATCATGACAAGACTTGTGTTCACTCCTGCTGTACAGAATGGCATCTGAGCCATAGCCATTATGAATAGACAGAAGTACGTCAGTGAGAATCATAGAGCTAGAAGTATTATACTAGCCGTGGGACCAATTTTTGGCTTTCACAGTAGTCTGATTTTTTTTTTTTTTTTAGCAAGAAAATGTGAATGAGTGCTTAAGGATTGGCCCATTCATTAATCAGGATTAATGAATGTAGCTACTAATGATGCATTGTGGATGGCTATTGAATCTTCATGGAGCAACATCCATGATCACAGAAAGCTATCTTGGAGGTCTTTGCCTCACTGCAAGGAACCCTTGAAATTTTTGAAGGATAGGCATACAAATTATCTAATACAGTCAAAAGTCGTTAATCCGGACTCGTCGGGACTTCGGCGATTCCAGATTATAGATCATCACTCTAAATCTGGTAAAATGGCATGCAGAAATTATAAAATTAAAAATATGAAACCGTAATTTATGAAATAAAGAACAATTATGATTTAAAGGGTATCAAAATTTACAAAAAAAAAGCTTAATATTTATTTGTTTACTTTATTAAAGATTTCTTTCAATGTAAGTTGTTTAAGTTGCTTCATTTTTATGTGATAATACTTTCTTTTTAATTCTATAAACAGACATAATTTCTTCTTCAGTTACAAAGTTCCGCTGTTCAAATTCTATAATTGCTGTGTCGAGAATACCGACTAATTTGTCAATCGAAATTTTTTCGTTTTCAATAACCTCTGTGTCACATTCTTCACTATCGGAAGCGAATTAGGTACTTACGTATTATCGCAACCAGGTTGGCGCGATTTGTAAGTTTCACTAAAAAAGTATGAATAGAAAGAAAATGTCTATTTATTAATTACAGATAATTTTTAATACAGTTTTTTATATTATTTTGTTTTAAAATGTAAAATAGCAATTAAACCCTTCCGGTTTCAAATTTGAATAAGTTGCAGAATTATTTTTTCGGTGGAAATCTTTGGCTATTGCTTTTAGCACTGATTGAAAACCGTCTTCGCCATTAACAGCTTGAGCTTGGCGCCATATAAATTCGATAAGGTATGAGTCAAAATGATGACGGGCTGTTCCTCTCTGTTTTTTGTTGCGCCATTTGGCTGAGCTCCACATGCGCTCTACATGTTGTGTGTGAACGCCCGTGTTGGGATCCACAAAGTTATATTTGTGATTAACAGTTCCATGCAGAAATCCAGCATTTTTGAACTCACTTGTATTGTATCCTTTCCAGCAATCCGAATAAATGATGCTTCCTTCCTTGATATTTTCGCAAATTTTTTCCATGAGGGTAACGGCGCTTCTGTTAGGTACAGTAACCAAAAAAGTCTCTTTTCTCGGCAAATTCTGCCGAAAACCCATTGCTGTGGTAGTACACGCCCAGTGTTATTTTTTCTTTTTACAAAACTACATATAACACGTAGGATTGCCGTAAGTAGGGTCGCCAAATTTGGCGATTTATGCGAATTTTGGCCTGGTTGCGTTAATACGTAAGTACTGTGAATTATAATGACGAATTTGATTTAAATCATATCAAAGACAGAGTACTTCGAGATGAAATACTACATTTAGTAAGGAATTATAAGCCAAATAAAATAAAAACATCTGCCCTGAAGATAAGGATAGTGCTGACAGATCAACTTCCAGTTCATTGCATGCAGCGGTGTCCCCCCCCCGGCCGCCGCAGAGCAGCGTGAAATTGATAAACAGATTTCGGAATGGTTAGAAAAACAAAGGATATGCCGGATATGCCTTTATCCATTTTTTGCAGCAATTCCACTTTTTGTTTAATGGACTTCGAAACATACTTTCGCTTTGTAGATCCTTTACATATTAGTAAATGTATATCAGAAATTCTATTTGACATAATCATAAGTTCAAGCTTACTTTTATAAAATTGCTCTAACAGTCTGCAAAAAATAATAAGTGGGATCCAATTCGAAGATTAAAGAACAACGCAATCTGCAACATTAACTGAATTAGATAATTTTAGCTTAGCTTATACCGTTCGTTATACATTAAACGCGTATGTGTAAGCGTGAAATGCGCGTGCAAACACGCATATTCGCAGCCGTAAAGGTCTTCCAGCCGCATATTCGCAACGTGGCGCATGCACTGAAAGTTTGTAGCTTTGAGGTCAGGATTATGGGTGTCCGAATTAATGACTTTTGACTGTATAGCCTTTTGATATCATTGTAGCTGTCACAGGTGTGCCATTTCAGTCATTTTTACCATATATTGCAAATCATCTCCCATAAATATCCATTATAAGCAATCTTCTTGATGTTACTGTAGTTTATTTAACAGAGTATATATGATGGATATTGAAATGAAAATGATGATAAGCCTGTCTTTAGAATATTTCAGTCTTTTTTTTCATATTTATTTTACATTCTCTTTTTCTTTCACAGCACGAACTCCCCAATTTGGGATCAGCACGTGGGAAACAATTCAGACATGAGAAGACAAAGAAGAAAAAGGGCAATCATTCTTTTGGAAAAATTGATACATCTGTAAAATCCATAAAATTTGATTAAATTTTATTTTCTAATTTTGTCTTGTTTATGACTATCATTATAACAAAATGAGTTTTCTGCTGTTTCTGTTTTCATTGAACATTCTTTTGAAGCGTGTAATAAAATTTTAATAGACTTTTAGAAATAATTTGCACTTTCAAATTTAAGAACTGTAACTTAGATATATCTGAAACAATTAAGACAAAAATAACTTAAATTGTTATTTGAGTTTGCCACTAATTCGAGCTCATTATTCAAATTTATTACAGTCATTCTAATTCTAGGTTTCAGATCTTTAAATTTTTAGAAAAGTATATTCAGAAGTATTTTTTAAAGAGTAAAATAAAGTATATGACATAAATGTTTCAAAAAGAGTAAATTTTGATTAATTTTATTCTAACTTATTGTAATTTGACAGAAATCAGATTATAGTTAGTATAAAGAAATGTTTATGAAATATTGATGTGAAATTTATCTTAAAAATGTTATAATAAAACATTTTCAGCATAATGCAAACTGAATTAATGACCATGATTAAAACCTATCCTGTAAAGTTGCTGTTTTGATGTTTACACTTTTTTAAAGGTTTATAAACATCTGTCTTGTCATTTTTTAATCCTGAAAGAATATCTGAACATCACTGATTACAAAACTCAAGAAATCCTGGATAAGTGAAAATTCCACAGTTGAGAGTACGAAACGTGCAGGTTATGCTAGAAAAGCCAGATGAAGGGAAGAAGAAATTTTTTGGTCTAAAATATAAAGTATCATCTTATTTACTATCAACTTCATACAAAGACCTAGATTTAAATTATATAAGATTTTGGGGAGAGGAATGCATTTCAGACATGAAACTCGACATTTCACAGGATATAAAATTAACAAAACACCTTTTCTTTCTAATTACGAAATCCCATTGAACCACGATAGTTGAGATGCCACCAAAATTGCACTGTCATTCTGGCAAAAGTTAAGAGGACTAGACCATTCTTTGTTAAATAATCGACAGGCACAAGCTATAAATGTTGCAAATGTAAAACTTATGTTTAATCATAGTTCTCACATTCACCATTGTTTATATACTGTTTGTTGTAGTATGTTGTTTCTACTATTTTCAATATAATTACGTATTGTGCATTTTGATAATATTTAACAACATGCTGTTCTGTAAAAAGATCCCAAAATGTACGGTAAAAGCATATAAACAGCAATTAAATAACTATAATTGTTATTTGAGTTTGCCGCTAATTCGAGCTGATTATTCAAATCTATTACAGTCATTCTAATTCTAGGTTTCGGATCTTTAAATTTTTAGAAAAGTATTTTTTAAAGAGTAAATTTTGATTAATTTTATTCTAACTTATTGTAATTTGACAGAAATCAGATTATAGTTAGTACAAAGAAATGTTTATGAAATATTGATGTGAAATTTATCCTAAAAATGTTATAATAAAACATTTTCAGCATAATGCAAACTGAATTAATGACCATGATTAAAACCTATCCTGTAAAGTTGCTGTTTTGATGTTTACACTTTTTTAAAGGTTTATAAACATCTGTCTTGTCATTTTTTAATCCTGAAAGAATATTTGAACATCACTGATTACAAAACTCAAGAAATCCTGGATAAGTGAAAATTCCACAGTTGAGTGTACGAAACGTGCAGGTTATGCTAGAAAAGCATATCTGAATGTAGAAGAATATCTGAATATACTTTTGTCTTTCTTTGCAAACCATGAAACCCAGATCCCCTATAAAAAGGAACCAGTTCATGCTGCCCTTTGAAGCTTGTGGGCAGTATCATTTACTATAATGCTGTGTAAAGTGGAGCATGTTTCCAACTTTTTTCTACAACTTAAGTGGTGGCTATGTTTGCAAGGTCAAATCATGCCTCCAAATTACTGAAAATGTACTTGTTTTTATGACATTGTCTAAACAGGTTGTACAGTAATGGACAAGTCCAGTGCGACTGCCCCGGCTGGCAAAATTTTTAGAATTCAAAAAAGCATCAAGGAGACAAAATTTGAGGATGTCCAAATTTAGAGCCAGCAGAGATTATAGTAGATAACAAAATACCTAGCACCAGCCCTGGAAATGATATAATAGCTTGCAATGATATGAAAGGTCCTATTAAATTTTTTGTTCAAATGTATAACAAATGATGTATGCAAAATACTGTAAACAAAATATACAGTGGAAAAGTAAGGTATGCAATATTAAAAAAAATTTAAATAAACAATTTAGCAGTTGCAAGATGAATTTTTTTCCTTCCCAGATACATGCGATATCTATCAGTTGCAAGTTTTAATGCGACCACTTTCGTTTGTGCCCATTGTGGTGTATAACTGGAATGCAAGCTGAGCTCGATGATCATCAAAAGGCTAATCTTATGCAGATTTTATATAAAGATTTTCTATTTACTGTGCTTTATATTCATATCCTTTATAGGTCAACTGTGCAGCATAATGTACTGAAAAAGAGCAACATCTGTGTCACCCCCCCCCGAGATCACTAGTAATAGAATAATATCCCTTGTAACAAATAGAAGGGATATTAATCATTAAATAGAATACAAGCTATGAAGTTTAGTAATTTGATTTCATTCTCCCACTTTGTCACAAATTTAATAAATGTAGTCTTAACATCCAGCTTGAAGTTTTAAACAATTTTAGACTGACTATTTTCCACAATTCCAGTGGCAAGGCTGTGTAATCAAAATAGGTATAGCTAGAATTTGATGACTTAGCCATCTTGGGAGTGCAAATTTAGTTTTTGTAAAAGTTCAAGCTGTATTTCTAATATAAATCGTGTTTCTTCCCACTAAATTAACATACAGGTACAAAGTCAGAGATCCGGAATCCTCCAAACTTTAGTGATTCAAGATATTCGATCATTAGTTTAACTCTTTAACCCCTTAACTGCAGCGGATGTATATATACACCTTGTTCAGCCGATGCGTTAACTGCCCCGAGCGTATATACTATATCCCCTTCCAAAATACTATCATTTGCTTTGTGCTGCTACCCGTAAAATTATTCACAAATTTTTGTAATGTAACACCACAATGACCTTGACAAGGTGTGCGAAGGAGGATACACTATTTCAGAGAAGCGTGGGGAGAAATTGGAGAGAGGGGTGTGTCTAAAGCTGTGAAAGTAATGACTGTGCGGTATTGGCTGGTGTTTGAGAAAAATGTATTTTTTTTTTATTCTGTGTCCTCCGCTTTTGTTTACTTTTTGTAGTAGGTTCCAGGAATAAAGAAAGGTATAACGAATGTTTCAAACCCATTTATCTTTTTTGATGAACTTGTCGTGCTTCATGTTGTTACTGAAACTAAGTCGTTTTGTAGAGGAGCATATGAACCAAAACCTTGCAAACGAAAAATTAAGAACAAAATTGTGGCGTTCAACTGGTTCAGAAGAAATATATGTTTTTTTAGGTATACTGATTTCACAAAGTATAACACTGAAACCTGATATTTCACTTTACTGGTCTAAAAATGAATTGATCAAAACTCCATTTTAAGGATCTTTTTTATTATAAAAACATCATTTTTATTACACTTACATCTTTTTATTATACTTTTACACGTGATAAACCGTGGCATTGGGAAACTATTCTTGTACGTTTTTCGCGGCAGCTAAGGATTTAAAACCCAAAGGCCTTCACTAGCATGTACAGTGGATGGACAAAAATATGGAAACACCTTGTGAAATGCATGTTTGAAAAGAAAGATTGATTTTAATGAAATATGTAGGTGGCGCTGGCGTTTTTGACTACTGACGCCACCTATACAACTTCGTAAATGTGCTAAACAGTTCAGTTGTAGTCGGAGTACTGTTATGTGAGGTTGTCATTGCATTATGTCAGAGTTAACAGACTTCGAACGTGGGCAAATTGTTGGAGCACGTACGGTAGGTGCTTCCGTAAGCAAGGTAGCCGAGGTGTTTAGTGTTTCAAGAGGTACTGTATCAAAGATTTATTCCACATATTTGAAAAGCGGAAAAACATCATCTGCTAAATCACAGCGCGAACGAAATTGTGTCCTGAGTGATCGTGACAGACGATCATTATGGGCAATTGTAACGAAAAATAAGAAGACCACAGCTGCAAAAGTTACTGCTGAAATGAATGTTGTGTTACCGAACCCTGTGAGTACCAAAACAATTAGAAGGGAGCTTCATAAACAGGGAATTGCTGGCCGTGCTGCAATTGAGAAGCCACTCATTAGTGATGCTAATGCCCGTAACAGGAAAAGGTGGTGTTTAAGTCATAAAGCCTGGACTATAGAGCAGTGGAAGCAAGTAATATGGTCTGATGAGTCTTCTTTCACATTGTTTCCCACTTCTGGCCGAGTTTACGTCTGGAGAACGCCATCTCAAGCCTATAATACAGACTGCTTGTTGCCAAGAGTGAAACACGGCGGGGGTTCTGTTATGGTTTGGGCAGCCATATCGTGGTTCTCTGCTAGCCCCATGATAACTGTGTCAGGGCACATGACTGTCAAGACTTATGTGAACATTTTGGCCGATCAAGTTCATTCCATGGTACAAACTTTGTTCTCGGATGGTGATGGTGTCTTCCAAGACGACAAAGCCCCTGTTCACACAGCTCACATTATCCAGGACTGGTTTTCTGAGCACGAGGATGAGTTGTCCCATCTCCCCTGGCCACCACAGTCACCAAACCTGAATATTATCGAACCTTTGTGGTCTACATTGGAACGGAAAGTGCGTTCTCGTTATCCACCGCCAACATAGTTATCTGAACTTGCCACCGTTTTGCAGGAAGAATGGTATAATATTCCCTTGGCAAACATACAGGAACTGTATTTATCCATTCCGAGAAGACTGCAAGCTGTTTTGGATGCCAACGGGTTTCCTACACCATATTAAGCAAAGAAACATGTTTTTTTAAAGGTGTTTCCATATTTTTGTCCAACCCCTGTATGTTATAATACCGACGGTTTTCGAGAATCCCCGCAATTGCTTCCCTTCTCCATCCAATAACACACTAAGAAGAGTGAAGGATTCAAATG